TCACCTCCTCCTCGTACCCCGCCGTTATTAGCCGCGTTAGGAGGTCTTCGCGAGCTCCACTATCCGTCTCAGCTTCTTCAAGCTCGTTCTTCCTCCTCTCGATTATATCCATCACATAGGCATGAACTTCTTCAATCGCAACTCTAAGTTTTTGCTCCGAACCGACTCCAAGCCACCTCTTAATCTTCCAAATTATGAACATGGGAGCTGCTCCGCGCCTTGCGCAAATCTCCGACGCCGTGTCAAAAGCCCTTGCAAGCGGCGGATGTGGCAGAGAGGGATCCAAGCAGCACCGCTCAACTCCCAGAAACACCTTACAAATCACATTGAAGGTGAATCTCCTTAGCAACTCCTGCAAGTCCACCACTTGCGCCGTCGCCGCCAGCGACTCCATCAGTGGCAATAGACTCTTTTCCACTTCTTCCTCCAATGTCTTCGTCATGCATTCACGCAGAAACTTTGTGCCGAACTCATGACTTGCTAACTTGCGCTGGGTGCGCCAAACCTCACCATCCACATTGAATATACCACATCCCAAAAAGTCCCCAAGAATTTCGGTGAAGGGTTTGCCTTTTGGGAAGTTGTTGAAGTTGGTTTTGAGCATGTACTCGACATTTTCCGGGTTGGCCGTGACTACCGTCCGCCGTGCGCCGAAGCGGTCCACGATGATGGTGTTGGTAGTTGATTTTGCAAGGAGGTCGGTGTACCAGTCCAAGAGGCGGTTGCGGTTGTTGTAGAAGGAAATGAAGCACCCGATGACGGGATACCTCGGCGGGCCTTGGTAGGAAAACTCATAGACTCGCCGGAATCTCGAAAAAACCACATGCATAACATAGAGAATGATTGCTAAGAAAACAATGAATGTAGGATGTGTGAAGAGCAACATGGATATTTCCGTCTTAGACATGAACTCAATGAACTCAGACTGAGCAAAAACTAGCTTTCAGCAACCGCAATGTTTTATGGGGGTCTGAATAGTTGATTATTTAGTAATTATCATTGTTTAATTTTGTTTTCCTCGGTTACGGTGTGAAAGGCACATATTTATATTCAATTTTTATGCATATTATTAATAATAAAGCGCACAGTCGTCGGTGCATGTGTGTAAGCGTGGGTAGAGAAATGCTACGGGGAATTTGACAGGCTTTATGTGTCTTTATGTTTTTGACACATGTTTAATAATGTTAGCTTGAAAATTGACTTTAAATTTTTAGACGATAGATAGTTTATAAAGAGTTTTACTTTTAAAAGAATTTGATCTTGCATGAGTAACTCTTTATGCATTCTTGAAAAAAGACTTACATGCATTCTTGATGAGAGATATCATGAGATGCTGATGTGAAATTTCAAACTAATAATATAATGTGTTTATAAAAATAAAATATATAATATAGTCGTATTGCGACAAAAGTGATACGAAATGTGTATGTAAGTCAAGATATAAGAGTGTATTTTTGTTTACCATCCTCAAGTGGTGGTTTTGTGAATTGGATCCTCTCCTCTCCTGAGCTTGAGCTTAGGAGTCTCCTGACAAACACACAAGAGTCGTTGGATTTTGATCTAACGGCTACAATTATTATAACTTTTAGATAACTCTCTGTTTGTAGCCGTTGGAGACCCATGTTTGTTGGTCAGCAAGCTCTTGAGCCCAAGCTTAGAATCCAATTCCATAGTTTTTCTCACCACCATAATTACTATCACCATCAGAAGAGGATCCAATTTCGTCTTTGACGAGAATTGAATCTAAAACGTTTTACTTAGATGTGAAGAAAAATATCACTATATCGTAATACCAAATAAAAAAAATTGTCATTGAATAAGTTTAAATTTTAAAATTAATATCTATACACTACACAAATTACTTATTAATGATAAATCATCATAATCACTTGAGAACTGTGAGAAAATACTCTCCTAATATAATCGCATCCGTTTCGTTTGTGTTCGACAGTCCACCAAATATGTGCACGTTTTTGTGCATTGAGAAATCTGATTAGCTACGTAATTAACGCTGTCCACAAAGTATAAATATATACAGCGAAAACAGCAGCATGTCTGCATGTCTGCATATCTCGCAATCAAATCTACCTCTCCCCGATAAGACGTGTGTTGTTGTTGGGGGTGTGTATATACAGATTCACACACGTGGATTTGGATATGGACGATTCGGATCATGTGCTCTCATCCTCTACACAGTAGGAACAGAAATCCATTTGTTTGTTTCTCTTGTAGCCGGCAAGACTTTTAGATCATCTTCAACCGAAGATTAGTTTTAATCATTTGGTATTTCAAGAAATTAATATTTTAAAAAACAATAGGGCCATATTTCTTACCATCTCCAACCGAGGGCCAAAGGATCATAGGGCTCGTTTTAGCTCAGTCACAAAAAACTATATCCAACAGAGGGCCAAACATAATTTATTATTTAAAAACTACAACTTAAATTTAAATCCAACGGCTAAGTGACGTCAACTAGCCGTTAGATTTGAATTTTTTTTTGCTATAAATAGGGTGGATATTAGGTTATAATTCACACACATTTGAATTCAATCTATTTCAATTAAATCTCTTTCAATTCAATTCAAGTTTGCAATAAATTCAAACTTTGGATCCTCTTCAGATTCTAACTGGGGATCCTCATCCAATTCCAAATTGAAAGAAAAATGGGCGCAGATGAGACTAGAAGATGAGGAATATGATGAAGAAGATGAAGCATGGCGCAACACACAAAAATAGCATTGAGTAGGCGTTTTTATGTTGTTAAATGTTTTTTTTAAATGTTGTTTTAAGTTTCATGTTGTTAAATATTTTTTTTATGTTATTTAATGTTATTTAATGTTGTTTAATATTGTTTAATATTGTTTAATGTTATGTAATGTTTAATGGTTTAGAAAGGTATAGGAAAAAAAAAAGTAGTTTTTAAAATTTTTAAAACAAATTTTGTAAAAAAAAATAAAAATAATAAAAAATAACGATTAGCTGACTGTTGCATTTGAATTCCAGCCTAGCCCGGAACCGGCTGGCTGGCATTTTTGTCTGATGGGGCCCAAGAGCCCTTTGACCTGGCCCTCTAGACTCTTCTGTTAAAGTTGGCCTTAAGAGCTATGGTTGGCCCTCCATGCTTAAACAAACGTGATCAATTTCACTTCGTTCGTATGCACATATGCATACTAGTTTTGGTAACCTATGGCCTATGGTCTATGGATGGAGAGTCACTAATATAAAATGGGTTGATGTCATCGTAGTTTTTTTTATTTAATCTGGGAATACTTACACATGATAGTACATTATTATTTATGGACATTACATCATGATGGTGGACATTTTCCACGTAAGTTTTTCGAGCAAAATCTACAGTCACTATGACATATCCCGTCATTAGTGTTTCTTTCATCCCGACGTGACAACTAGTTATAGTATGGTATAGCTTAAGGCTTATGATTGAGTAAAATTTGGAGTGTAATCAGGATATACACTTCTTATCATGTGACAAAACGAAATAGAAGAATACTGATGAAGAGGAGGTACACCTCACGTTATATCCAAGAAGAGATTCAAAATCTCGTTTATGTTCACTCTTTTTAAAATAGAGTATAGCAAACATGTCATCGTACTATTAGAACAAGCCTTCACGATAACAATGTAGCCAAACCATGTTCTTGAGACACCATCCATTAAAGTCCAAAATAGCTCAAGCATTTTATATATTAATTGGATCGTTCAGGGAGTAGGATTCTCTCTTCTCTTTTGTTCCTTCTTCTTCCCTCTCTTTCTATTTAAATGGTCATGATTAAGTCACGTTAATATTTTATATTAATTTTTTTTTATAAAAAGAGAAAGAAAAAATAGAAAATGTAAGGAAAAAAAAAAGAATAAAAAAGAAGGAGAAAGACTTCTAATCCTCCTCGTTTCAGAGCATGTGCAATTTTACTGGTTAATAATATGGCAGACAGACCTGGTGCCACAGCAGAAAGTGAATGAACAAAAGCAGAATGCTGACACGAGAGAATAGGACAGACTTGACAATTGAAAGTGCGCTGGCATTGGAACCTCTTGGAAAATTTAGAATTTTGATGGTTAGATGGAGAAAGGAACCACTTGGGGGCATTATTAATGATTAATGATTTGATTAATCAAAGGGTTAGTTATAAACTCATGATAATCTCCTTTCATCTTCAATCATTAACATAGATTCCACGCTTGTTCACACTCGTGGATGCAGCGGTTGCAGGGCGGATGGAAGTAGGGACTAAAGTAGTTATAGGTCATCCGAGTTTGAAAAATATATATCTGAAGATTTTTTGAGGACCTTTCGATTGTTTGGTACGAGTTCTTTTTGTGCCTACTAAATGTTTAATGTAGTGCATGCTGGATATATTTCGACATATTGTGTTGACAGCACTCAACAAGTTCTCTTTATATCACTTATCAGATTGTTTCGGCATATAACGATATTTGTTGACATGTGCATAACAAGTCTACAAAATGAATAAACTAATTTTTTTTCTTTTTTTTTTTAACACGCTTCTCACTCTGTTCCTATTCCAAAACTTGTGTTTAACACTAGAACTCCCAAAATTAAAATCCTGAATCCGCCACTACTTGGTTGTCGCTGTGTCGTCTATCTTTCCCACTAAGCATGTGTTCGTACATGTAATAATATGAGACCTTAAATTGAGACTTTGTCAAAGATTATCTTCAAACAAAGTACCTTTACGATTAGTCGAACCAGACCACAACGCATGGACGAAACTCAGAGACGACCAACATCTAAGTGTTGAAGGCACATTTTATCACTTCACACGTTGAAAGCCCAGATGATGGCGATTCATTCAGTTACTTTCTTCAGTTTTTTGTAGCTGGTTTATATACTTGAGTGAGTGACCAACCTGTAAGGACTGACATACCTTTTTCAGAGCTGATGTCTCTTTGTCCGGTTCAAGAAACGACCGGTGCGGCTTGAATTCCAACCGGTCCTTCCCCCACATTGCTTCCCTCAACTATGGCATGCTTCGAGTCCCAAGCAAATAAAGCCTCATGGACTCGTAAAGGCATGCCTTCAACAAGCTCAACTGCAACAACTCGAAATCCGACATATTTTCTTCGGCGGATTCAATCTCTTTCACCACATTTTCCTCCGCACCTGGTTGGCGGGAAAGCAACCAGAAGAGCCATGTCATGTATTGCCGCTTCCCGCCCGGCCATGATAAAGCTTCCATCGTCACCTCCTCCTCGTGCCCCACCGTTATTAGCCGAGATAGAAGGTCTTCATGAGCTCCACTATCCGTCTCAACTTCTTTTAGCTCTTTCTTCCTCCTCTTGATTATATCCGTTACATAGGCATGAACTTCTTCAATCACAGCTCTAAGTTTTTGCTCCGAACCGACTCCAAGCCACCTCTTAATCATCCAAATTATGAACATGGGAGCTGCTCCGCGCCTTGCGCAAATCTCCAATGCAGTGTCAAAAGCCCTTGCAAGCGGTGGATTTGGCAGAGAGGGATCCAAGCAGCACCGCTCAACACCCAAAAACACCTTACAAATCACATTGAAAGCGAATCTCCATAGCTGCAACTGCTTGGGACAACGAATCCCCTTATAGAAATGCCGATAGACTCTCTCAAAAGTTATATAACGATGATACGAAAATTTACGTTAAACTACGAGGTGAGAATAAGTCTATTAAGAGTCTTACTTTTAAAAGCACCCTCTTTATATTTCTCACGTGAGTAAATCTTTATTTATTCTCGAAGACAAGCTTACATGCATTCTCAATGAGAGATATTATGAGATGTTTTCATGATATTTCAGATTAATAATATTAATATGTTTTGTAAGCATTAAAATCACTTGAGCGGCAAAATTCTCCCAAAATATGAAATCACATGAAAGATCTGATTAGCTACGCAATCAACGGTGGCGACAAAGTAAAAATATATACAGCGAAACCAGCTGCATGTCTGCATCGTGCAATCAAATCTACACCTGCCTTACCCCAATAAGACGTGTGCTATTGTTGGGGTGTATAGAGATTCACACACGTGGATTTGGATATGGACGATTAGGATTATGTGCTCTCGTCCTCCACACAGTAGGAACAGAAATCCTTTTGTTTGGTTCTCTTGTAGCCGGCAAGACTTTTAACAGCTCTGGCTGGCTCTCCATGCTTACGCAAAAACGTGTTCAATTTCACTTCATCCGTACGCACGCATGGTGTATACTAGTTTTGGTACCCTATGCCCTATGGCCTATGGTCAATGGTCTTTGGTCTATGGATGAAGAGCTATTCGCATAAAATGAGTTCCATCACCGTAGTGTTCTGGTTCAATATGTGAATATTTACACATAACAATGCATTATTATTTCTAAACGCGTTCCATACAAATCTTTTTAGCAAAATTTGGGATGTCACAATGATATATCCCTTCATCAAAGTTCCTTTCATCACGAGTAGCTTATGGCTTATGTAACCAAGATATGCATTTTCCCATTACGAGACAGAACGGGATGAAAGAAATACTGATGAGGAGGTACACCTCACTTTACATCCAAGAAGAGACTCCAAATCTCGTATCTATCCACTTCTTTTAGAGAAGAGCAACTCATATAACATACATGTGTATTTAGAACAAGCCGCTACGATAACAATGTACCCCCAAACCATATAAATCCAAACCCTAACCATTTTAAAGTCCAAGAGCTCAGGCATATTATATATTAATTGGATCATTTGAGAGCATGCGGAATTTTAGTGGTTAATAATATGGCAGACAAACCGTCGTGCCATGGAAGAAAATAAAAGACCCAAAGCAGACTGCTGACGAGAGAGAAAAGGACAGGCTTGACGATTGAAAGTGTGCTGGGATTGGAAGCTCTTGGAAAATTTGGAATTTTATGGTTTGATGGAGAAAGGAACCACTTGGGGAGTGGGGAGTGATTAATTATTAATGATTTGATTAATCAAAAGGGATTAGTGATAATCTCCTTTCATCTTCTATCATTAACATTGATTCCACACCTTGTTCACACTCGTGGCTGTCGCTGTTGTCGTCTCTCTTTCCCACTAAGCATGTGAATTTAGACTTAGTCAATGTAATACTTAAAAAAAAACAAAACACACACACACACACACACATATATATATATTATTTTTAAGGAGCAAGAGGGTGAGTTTCAAACCCGAAATGCATGAGTGAAAAGCAACACTATCCACTAAGATATTGGACCATATTGCTTTGATTAATCAAGCATTATCTTCAAAACAAAGTAAGTTTACGATTCGTATTTCTGTCTGATGTCCCTGGATTCAACAGATTAGTCGAACCAGATTTGAGGATCGATCCATGACAACGCATGGCCGAAACTCAGAGACGAACAACAACTAAGTGTTCGAGGAAAACCCCGTAAAGTCTGCATACATTTTATTACTTCACACGTTGAAATCCCTGACCGTGGTAAAACCAGATTCAGTCAGTTACTTTCTTCAGTTTCTTGAACCTGGTTTATAAACTTGAGTGACCAACTCGAACCTGTACCCGATGCCATGAAGTGTTCAGTATCCCTCTCAAGTTCCAAATTTCTTCCACTTTTTCTGGTTGGACATTCGCAGCTGAATCCACCTGCCAGACAACGGCACAGAAGATCATGACAAGTGAAAATTGTAGGCAAGGCAAGGATACAAACATAATACAGTTCCCAGAAGAGTAACGCTCTATACACAATTTTTGTTCACAAAAAAATTAGAGAAATAATCTATTTCGCTACATCATTGATTCGATTTGGTAAAAGCACTATCGAGTCCAGACATGTGAACAAATAATTCTATGTTCAAATGCGCGAATAGAACTTAAGTCATGAACTCCTGAAAAGTCTTACCAAAAGGTCATGTTCAGAGAGTATTTTAGAAATGCAGCCAAGAAGAAAATAAGGGCACGTTTGATATCCTATAGTATTTCTGGGGAGTGATGGTAGGTACACCAACTGTTTAGACCAATTTGCAAACTATGTGATGTGTCACCAATAAAAAATAAGCACATAAATCAACACTTAAAGTAATAATCCAGTCATCAACGATCACGTCATATGGTTTACAAAATATGGTTTAAATAGGCAGTCTCCCTAGCATTACCCTACCGGAGACCAATGCAAACTCATATATACCAACTTTGAAACATGTGATATATATGTTGTATATAATAAGCTTTAGATCCATATAAATTATGTAGCTTTACCGCCCATGTGATTTCTAATGTTATTCTTGTTTATATAAGCATCTAAGAAACTTGTCATAAAGGACAGCTTGCTGTTGGTCTTTATTATTAAGATTATATATGATTCTGTGAGCCAGGATTCTGCTAATTATTTAAAAGAGAGTTTATTGACCTCTGAGAACTCCACCAGAAACATTATGTCATAGTTTTAGTTGGCGATAAGGGCGATGTGGATGGATGGTTTTGGAGATGACCGTCCAACCAGTGATCAAACCCACTTGCAGATTATGGCTTCCAGAAATGGGCTAGTATAAACGTCGAGGCCAAAACTTAGCCAGCCTTTTACTTCATTTATGTCATTTATGATATGGGCTATTTTAGATTGTATGCATCCTATTCACAGAAAATGATTTTCAGGACTAGATATCAACGATGCATATGAGCTTCCTAGTTGAGAAAAATTCATCACGGTAAATAAAGTAATCATACTGCTTTTGCAACAATCTCAGTGTTCTGTTGGACATCAGCCATGGCCTCGAAAAGCACCCATGCCCATTTATCACTGCTTGTGTGCTCTGAAATGTATGGGATGCCCGTTCTCTGATATCGCGAAGCTTCTATCCAGGTTTTGCCACCATCAACAGACACATCTACTCTCTCAATGCCACGGCCACCTCCTGATGCCGCATACCCAGTAATTTTTACCTGTACAATACATGTTTAAAATGATTAAAAATGTGATAAACCATTAAAGGGTAAAGCCCCACGATGTCAATTATTGTGGTGGCATCTCCATGGTCGAGCTTTAGAATATGATAAAAAATAAAGAGGGAGGAATCATATCTTAACAAAAATTCACATCATTTGACAAGGTCGGAGGAAGGGAGTGCAATGCCTTAAATGGTGGAAATGAACCACATAATCATTGTGGTCACTTCATGGTGAGGCAGAACAACATTCAAATCAGAACATATTTTTAATGATTGAGTGCTAGTGAACTGATTAAATTGTGGCAACACTGCAATGATGGAGATGAACGTGCATGCCATAACCCAAGTAAAGGGAAAACATATTAAAGAGAGAGAGAAATGAAATTAGCGTATGAGCTAACCTTTCCAGGCTTTATCGCATTCACATCCTCTAGAGAACATATTGCACACTGTCAATCAGCAAGTCATAAGTTAGTAAAATAGGAATACATAGAAAAACTGTAAGACAAACTGAGTATGAAATGTTACACCTATGATATTCTAAAGGGTTACGACAATTTGTACATACAAAATATAGCACAATAAGCGCCTACTCCAAGTACTCTAGCAGGAGTAGCAAATGTCCATACCTGGACAGGAAAATCCATTTGTGGTCTTCTGGTAGACCAATCAATGTTATCCCAGTTCACCGAGGGAGGAAACATTTTGTAATCTTTTTGCATAAAGAAACCCTACAAGATTGTGATGCATTCGAATCATATAAAACTGTGTGAAGGGAAGAAAGAAAAAATTAATGATCGATAAGAATTAATTGAAGAATCTATTTCTAACCTGACACTCCTCAGCAATCACATTAATAGAGTCAAGCCATTTAACCGATCGGGCACCAATGACACCAGGGACAACCACACGCAATGGATAGCCATGATCCCTGTTAAGAGTCTTTGACACGATCAAAGAATATGAACCCAACATGAATATTTATGAACATCATGTGCCAAAACCTGAATAGCATAACGTTAGGAAAGACGAGCAAAACATCCACTTTGCTAAACTTACCTCTCCATTCATCTCATAAGCAAGTAAAACATCTGCTTCTGGGTTTGTGGCTTGAATTAGAGGGATTGAAGCCTTGTAGGGGCCTCCGTTTTCCTCCTACAATTTAAAGGCATTACTCCAGCAAACAGAATGAGCATACAAGAGAAAAGTCTCAGATGAAAAGTAAATAACCAAGTCCGCACCTTACACTTATCAACGCTTACAAATTCGACATGTTTTCCACCTGATCTTGTGGCACCTGTCAACTTGGGTATTCCGACGAGTTCAAGAACATCAGCTAGTTTTGCACCGCCCCAGACAGCTGTAATAATTTAAAAGAGTTATACCAAAAACATATACTTTAGCTTGGTTATCTCTGACACTGTATCACAGAAAAATATGAGTTGTTAACGCTGAAGTTTATGATACTTCATACTCGACGAGAGAGATTAATGCTGAAATTTATACGCACAAAAAAGAGCAACAAACCATTTCCTATAGCAGAAACATCCCAACCTACTCCCTTGACGGTCCGGGTTTTGCTCATAGCTGTCCTTCTATTACCTGCACACTGTGTAACCCATGTATACACCAATCAAAACCCATCACACCATCACATTTGATTCGAATAACAGCATAATTGCTCCAAACCCAAATGCACAAGCATAACATAATAGCACAACGTACCTGTAACGTGGCAGTCACAAGATACTTGGGAAGCGCCCTGCAAAATTCAACTTCTTTGTAACAAGCAGATACTGATAGGAAAACACGTGTATGGGATTATATTATCATTCCAAAGTGCCAAGAACTCACCTGATATCTTTCATAAAGAACTGTTTGGGATTTTCTATTAATCCGGTGAAGGAAACTGAGTAACTGCTTGGCAAACAGGTTGCAGAATGAGTTAGAATCACTGTCCTAAAAATTTCGGCCTAGGCCCTAAGCGGCTGGCCACTATCCCGATTTGAGGGTTCGTTTGGTGGCTAGGATTGGATTGAATATGATAACTCCTCCTAAAGTGAATGAAGAAACTTAACCCTTCTAATCCGAACACGGGATTGGAAGGGATAAGTTTCCTAGGTGAGTAATCCATTTCTTCCTTCAACACAGTTAAGTACAGTACGTTATCCAATCCAATCCACCAAACAAGGTCGAAAGATATGAGATTGTGAGGGACCTGTGGATGTCGTCGATGAGGGGAATAGGACCGTGATTTCGCTTGTAGAAGAAGTCGACGGGAGTGACGTACGACGAAGCCAGAGCGGAACGCGGCGGCTCCGCATTGAAAGGTTCCTGCAAGTCATTTTTACATTGATTTTTTGAGTTTTCCGATCAATTAATTTTCGTAAAAAATCAAGGAAATGAAATTAAACTGGCCTTGGAATTGATTTGGAGGCTGGGATGTCGAGGTGGCTCCAGCGAGTAATCCGACGGCCCTCGAACGCCCGGCATTCTTCTTCTTCTTCAAACTTTTGCTTACAGAGGAGAGGGAGACGGACACAGAGAATATGATTCTACTGATTTCGCCAAAGATGGCAACCTCCTCAGCTTCTTGGGAATGGTGACGTTGTTGTCGAGCAATAAGATTCTCTCATTTTCTATTCACATCCTCTTCTATTTCCTCCGTACGTATTTAGTAATTAAATCATAACCGTTCAATTAGAATAAGATAAAATGAGAGAGAAATTAAGAGAGTAGAAAATCCCTCTGCTGTTGAGAGAGACTGAGAGAGAGAGAGAGAGAGAGCACTTGTTTGGACTTGGTGGCGTTTGCTGTGTTTGGGCCCGGGGGCCCAATTGGACGGGTAGAACAAGGTACAAAACCGGTTTTTACTTATTTATTTGACGAGGGACCCGCCTCTAAAACCGTTGGCGCCTTCTGTTTCCCAAAGGCAATCTTTGTTGGGTGATGACTGAAATCTAAAACTACAGAGTTCTGATGGTGAACCAAAAAAATTAAGAAGATTATTATTATACCCTTTCAAACATAATAATAAAATAATAATTAAAAAAAAAGGGAAGAAAAGGGATCATTAAAGTAATTTAACACAAATTTGCACCCCATGTCTACTTTTCTTTCCACTTTTTCAAACTTCTTCGATCAACTAATTTGTATTCCATAATTTGACATTAATTAACTTTTATTCTTTACTTTAAATCACACATAGTGTGTGTACTGCTGCATCTAGTGTTAATAAAGAGTAGGAATTAATTTGATTAAAAGGGGTGATCCTACCATTTTTTTATGTGTTGGAAATCTTCGGAATATCCCAAATTAATTTTAGGAAACAATTGGTGCGACAAGAATGACTCGAGTTTTGGATTATAATCAATATTCCAAAAATTCTCAAAATTGATTTGAAATTGTGAGTTATAATCCATGTTTTCAAATCGATTTTGAGAATGTTTACAAGATTCATTAAATTTGAGTGATTCTTGTGACATCCCGTCCCGGAATTATCGGAACCGTACGCGTGAAATTACCATTTTACCCCTAGTTGTTTTGTTATGTTGTTTGGTTGTTTGTGTGGTGTTGGCAAGCATTGGGCCACACACACACACACACACACACTGTCTCACTCACCCTCACCCTCTGGCTCTGTCTCTGTCACTCTCTCTCTCCCGTGTCTCTCTCTTTCCCCTTCTTCTTCACCATATATGTACGGACCAAACCCAAAACCCACCAAATCCTTGCAGATCGAGGGAACCAAGTACACCATCGTGATGGTGAGGCCGAGAGGAGTCTAGTGGTGCCATTTTCAGGTGAGAAACCAGTCGTTTTCACGTCGATCTCGTAAGCTCCGTTTTGAACACTGTTCATGCAAACCTAATCTAGCATGTTTTTGGACATTCTAAGCTTGTAGATGTGTTAGTGAGGTCCCAAGGAGCTTGGGAGTGCTTCGTTGGGTGAATTTGGACGTCGGGAAAGCTTGGTTCAAAGTTGGCCGAACTTGGATCGTTGTTGCAGGTGAGATTCTTTGATTTTTAGGCCTTAAAACTAGTCTAACGTGAATCTACTAGTCCTAAGCTTCATTTTGGTATAAAGAACGTGAAAAATGGTTGAAAAACGAGTGAGAAAACAAAGTTGGAAAATTTTGCAGTTTTCCGGTGCCGGCGGCGGTGGCTCGCCGGAGAAGACAGGGGAATATTCCGTTAGGGTTTAACGGAATATTCCTAACGGACAGTAACGGCGTCAGTCAAGATTAACGGAATATTCCAGGGAATATTCCTGACGGCGTCACTTGACGCCGTCAGCATGCAGGTCACGTGGCCGCGCGTGGGGGCGCGTGGGCCCGTGTCTGTGCTGGCGCGTGGGGGCGCGTGACGTGTCCAAAAATTATTTTAAAAATATGGTTGTGATCGTGAGGTTGTGTAGTTCACGTGGGTATATTCATTTGTCCATTTTGAGCAATGTATGAAAAGTTATTTTGAACGGACGATTATGTGCTCTAAAGTTAACGTTTTTATAGTTAATTCGCATATAGGTGACACGTATCCCGAAGACGAGCGTGCACATTCGAGGCAGGGGGGCTACGACCCTTCTACATATCAGTGAGTGGGCTTTTGTTTTCCGTATATACCTATATACATGTTATTTCCCAGAAATTAGTATAAATGCCTCATTTTACGCTATTAATTTTATATGATTGATGATTATACATGATTAGTGGCATATGAGTTGGTCTATATATTTATTCTTACGTCATTTACATATATGTTGGTGCTGTGGCGGCCTAGGTAAGTGCCAGGTAAGCGTGTTTTACATTCACATTAAATAGTGATTCGAGGTGCTTAGAGAGCTCTTAACCTGCACCCCCGGTGTTAGTGCTCCCTCCCAGAGTAGGGCACAGTCCTTCACGTGTTGTTCACCTCCCGCACCACATGCTCAGCTTGAATCCAAGTTAGGTGCACAGTCCTGTCGTACAGACCACTATAGGTGGTTCCGACTCGTAGGTGACCCGCGATTATTCGCACAGCCTTCACGTGATCGTAGCACTAGAGCGTCATATGTATTACACCCAGGCTTGTCGTACAGACCACTATAGGTGGTTCCGACTCGTGGGCAGGTTTAGGGAATGAGTGGTAAATTGAGCTCTAGGTTCAGCCGTACAGGTCACTTAGGGGACTCCGGCTGTCATTTTATTATGCTATTGATGTGATATACATACCTGAGCATTTGCATGTTATTATGAGGCGTTGAGCATGACGACATACATTTGAGCATGTTGGTATATCCTTGCGTATACTTGGAATATTTATACCTTCGTATATTGTTTATTTTCTGGGAAGTATACAGGTTTTACGGCGAGGGGTTATATTATGTTTTATGAAATGGTTTTCTAAGAGATTTGTTTTGCCCACTCACGCTTTTGTTTTTGCGCCCCTCCAGGTTCTAGTAGCTTAGCGGGTTCGGTGGTTTCCCCAGGGACGTCCGGCATTCTGACAGACCTTCACCTATGTAGGGTCGCCCACGGGCGCACTATTGTCGTAACATTTATTTTAGGCTGCTGTAGGCCTTAGGCTCTGAATTCAGTGTTTTAATTACACTAGCACATATCCTATTACTCTATATTTGCTAGTTTTAAATTATTCGCACTTTTATATTACTGTTTCTAGCTTCCGCACTGTGCACATGGCTACGTCACTTCCACGTGGCGGCCAGCATGCCCTGATCTCGGTTGGGGTGTGTCAATTCTCGTCATACCACATGTTTCCTAAAATTAAGTCAGAATATTTTGAAGATTTTCGACACATAAAGAAATATTTGGGGGCCCGCTAGTAGATCATATTATTGTTTTCTATTTGTCAACTTTAAAAATCAATAAAAAATAGTTTCGTGACCTAATAAATGATAAGATCACATCCAAAGGTCTTTCAACATTTTCCTTAGCTGGCACGCAAAATATTTCCAAAACTAAAAATTTCAAATTCTTTCACAAAAACTATGAGTTATATATAATTCACAATTTTTTGTGAAAAAAAACTGAAACTTTTAGTTTTCAAAAATATTTTGCATGGGAGCTTAGGAAAATGTTGCAAGACCTTAGAATGTGATCCTACCATTTATTGGGTCTTGAAACTATTTTTTTATTGATTTTTAAAATAGAAAAATAACATAAACTAATAGTGGGCCCCTAAATATATTTTTTATGTGTAGAAAATTGTTGGAATGTCCTAAATTAATTTGGGGAACATGTGGTGCAATGAGAATGACTCAAGTTTTGGCTTATAGTGAATCTAGTAAAAATTCTCAAAATAGATTTGAAAATCCTTGGAATGTCCTAAATTAATTTTAGGAACATGTTGTGGGACGAGAATGATTCGAATTTAAATTTATAGTTAATTTGAAAAAATTCCTCAAATTGATTTGAAAACGTGAGTTATAACTCACAATTTTAGTGAAAAAAAAATTATAATTTTTAATTTAAGAAAATATTTTGCGCATGAGCTTAGGAAAATGTTGCGAAACCTTTAGATATGATCTTACCATTTATTAGGTCACAAAAATATTTTTGAAGTTAAAAAAATAGAAAAACTAAAATTAGGCCTCGAAATATTTTTTTTTATGTATCAAAAGTCTTTGGAATGTCCACAATTAATTTTGGTAAACATGTGGTGCAACATGAATGACTTGAATTTTGGTTTACAATTAATCTTTAAAAAATTCTACAACTTGGCTTGAAAACACGAGTTATAAATCAAAGTTTTTATGAAGAAAAAAAAATGAAATCTTTAGTTTTAGGAAATATTTTTCGCAGGAGCTTAGGAAAATGTTGCAAGACCTTTGAATGTAATCCTATTATTTATTAGATCATGAAGCTTTTTTTTAATTGATTTTTAAAGTTAAAAAATACAAAAAATATTGTAAACTAATAGTGGGCACGTAACTATTTTTTATATGTAAACAATTTTCGGAATGTCCTAAATTAATTTAGGAAACGCGTGGTGCGACAACAATGACTTGAATGATGGCTTATAATTAATCTTGTAAAAAATGCAAAAATCAATTTGAAAACGTGGGTTACTCACAATTTTTGTAAAAAAATTGAAATTTTTAGTTTTAAGAAATATTTTGCGTGGGAGCTTAGGAAAGTGTCACAAAACCTTTGGATTTGGATGTGATCCTACAATTTATTAGGTCCAAAACCATTTTAAATTTGAAAAATAGATAAAAAAATCATATAAACTCCAATTGGGTCCCCAATTTTTTTTTAATATGCTGAAAATATTCAGAAAGTCCAAAATTAATTTTAGTAAACATGTGGTGCGACATGAATGACTCAAGTTTAGGTTTATTATTAGTCTTGCAAAAATTCTATAAATCGATTAGAAAACTTGGGTTATAACTCACAATTTTTGTGAAAAGAATTTATATATTTTTTTTGTAAGTGTAAAAAATCTTCAGAATATCCCAAATTAATTTTAAGAAATATGTGATGTGACGAGAATGACTTGAAATTTTAACTTATAATTAATCTTGCAAAAATTCCCAAAGCTGATCCAAGTTCAATTTTAATGCCAAAACGCTTTGAAGAAACAACCTTAGGCATGGAAATGTGTATGATTTCAAGTTTTCAGCATCCAACTGCTTATTAGCTATCGAAATACAAGTCGATCAATGTCGATTATTTAGTCGGTATTATTATTCGTAGTTATAAACGGCATAAGTTCATCATTCATCTTCCATGTTAAACTTAAACCCCAAGCTTCCGAGACGTTGGCTGTTGTTGAATAGGTGCCTCCTTGTCGCACAGAACAGGAGTCGGAGGTGTTCCCGTCAGAGGAATTCTGCCATCCGGAGCTGAGGCTGAACGCGGTGGTGGCCTAGGAGGGACGACATGCGATGGTTGATGAGCTGAAGCACAATCAAGAGGAATGAGGGCGTTCAGAAGGAGAAGGAAAACTAGAGCAGAGTAGAATGCTGGAAAGTGGGAAATGGTGGAAGCCATGCTTGCTAAGGAAACTAACGGGAAATTTCTGTGTGTGTTTTAGTTAACTGAAAGGGCAAGGTATTTATAGGGAAGAAGCTAACTTCATGCGAATCATGCCCCCGAAATTTCGGCTTGAAACAGTGCTAGCAACAACAAACTTTTCGAACTCTCACTCTTTTCTTGTTTTCCCCCTTCTATGCTTCAACACAAAAGTTTCAGTACATAAAAATGTTAGGAGCACATCTCGTAACGGTCAAAACTGCAGCAGGTTCGACAGAGCGTGCTGAAGAGGCATGTCAAGTAATTCTACAAGTAAAAATTTGTGATACAAATACACGATGTATATACAGTTTATTTAACCGAAACAAGAAAAATCAGCGAGCCTGACTCTGTCCAGTAATTACCAAATAAAAAGTTTCTGATTTATAAACAACCTAACTGTATGACTTGAGAACCTATATGTATTTGACTTTTGCACGAGATGGAAAGGCGAAAGTACTCAGCTTACAAGTTACTACTCGTGCATCTTTAGTCTGTAGAATTTAGCTGCAGCAAGACTTTTAAAGCAGATGCTTAGCATATCCTCCTCTTAACTCCCAAGTTCTTTGCCATGAGACGCACACGCAGGGCTACATAAATGAAACGTAAAGGAGAAACTTAACATATATAACAAAGAAGTCTAACAAAACGAAAGTAGAACCCAATGTGCATGCCAAAGTTGATTGGCCGTGTCCTAAATTCCAAAATTCTCCGCGAGACTATATATTCGAAAGACAAGTACAGTGGAAATGAAACAGAGAAAAGAGGCGACACCTTTTCACAGTACTATGGATTTTGACCCTATCTTTCCAGGTGTTGTTAACCCTTTCTTTGAGCCAGAGATCCGTGTTGCCTGGCTCAGAAGAGTTTTGTAATCTTGACTTCTTGACCATTCATCAATTTCACGAGCACGTAGAACTGGCAGAGGATGTGAAAGTTGCCTCGTTTGAGCATTTCTGGACAGCATGAGAGCATGAGTTAAAACAGGCAAATCTAACATGTACCTAACCTAACAAAGGGTGATAAACCTATGCTGTCACTTACCTTATATACCACCCCACAGGGTTTGAAGAAGCTTTGTCGTAGGAGCGAGCTTGTTCCAAAAACGCATCCACATTTAGTTGATCAGCCAGAGATGGGCAGCCCCCAGCTAATTTCATTAGAACAGAGACGACCACCTCTTGTGGGCACATCAAAATGGATATCAGGTAATCAGGATAACCAATATGAAACACAAGTTTATTCAAAAACATGTAGCTTCTGGAGGTTGTATACCTTTGGGTCTTGTGCAACAAGAAGAGCTGCACGATCACAAGTTAGCTCTGCTGCTCGAAGCCAACGAAATAACTGTTCTTCCAACCTCTGAGCAATCATCCCACCTAGCCCTATGAATAACACAAATATTCAAACGCATCAAACACAATGAAACATAACACAAGTAACCAAAAAAGGTCAACCAATGATATTAAGTATCAAACCAGGTATTGTATAAGCTCCGAGGGTAAGAATATTTGCAAACGTAAGCCACACACCATGGTCACATTTCAGATGGCCCAACTCATGAGCCAAAACAGCCTAATTTCAAGTTAAACAACAGAAGTTAACTGAGAACCGAGAGATGATAAGGGTAACACTTTAAAACAAAAGGTAAACAATTAAAATCCAAGAGATAACTTGTCACCTGCAGCTCTTCTCGTGTCAAAAGCTCCACGAGACTAGTATGAACAACAACAAACGGCTTTTTACCACTTATTGCTAAAGTATACGCATTTGGTACAGGACTTTGACGAACATATAAATCAGGAGCATCAATGCTGAGAATCTCCGCGGCCTCCACCATCAATTGATGTAGGCCAGAAAGCTGATAAAATAAAAGGCAACACATAAGCTGACGACATTAACTTTAATGCAAAACCTGGACTTGCAAAAGAAGAACAAGTTTTCCGCTTATATTTCCGCAACTGGACAACCTGATCTTTCGAAACAAGAAGGGACGTTCCGATGTTCTCAAGAAGCATGACTTGCTCTGCAACAGATCCTGCAATGCTCATAAAATAATATATGCACAAATTAGTAAACAAACACCATTTTACACAAGTTTAATCCTACCCAAATTGGATGAATATTACCTAGCAGAATCTTTCCAAACTCATTCAATCCCGGAATCGCTCTCAAAATCAGCGTGTTCTGCAGAACAAGTTGATAAATTTACACTCAGATGCTAAAAGAGTGTTTTATTTTTAATCTGAAGAGACAAATGCAAGTATACAACTGAACATACAATGTAAATGCATGTTTTTTTTACATCTTCTGAAAGAGTGTTTTTACACAATCAAAAGCACTTCTGACTACATTTGGATGAAAACTTAAAAGGGCTTTAGTTCGTAGAAGTACTTTCGAGAAAAGCATCTCGAATACAATACCGTCTGGAGATACACTTGCAATGTTATGCTTCTCCAAAAAGAACTCCCAAGTACTTTTCCAGAAAGCACTTAAATTTTGAATGAAATATCTACATGTTTATAGTAAAATCACTTTCCAGTAAACAATTAATCGCACCTGTTTATCCAAGGGGTGCCGAAAATCATCGGCATCGAGGTTGCTAAACACAACGGAGACAGCTCTGCACACAGGAACTCGAATTCCAACTCTCCGGTACTTCTTGACGGCGGCGAATTCGACGGTTGGCGAACCGAACCGCAAATGATCCGAAGCCACGGAGCTAAAACTAAGAGAACTACGGTTCTGCGTCAGGCAGACAGAAGAGATCAAGGGCGCGGCGGCGGAACCCATGGAAGCCCAGAGACGGAGCCTCAGAAGAGCAACGGCGGAGGAGAATATTAAAATCTAAACTCCATGTTTGCTGATTAGGGAGGTCTAATTGGAGGGATTGAGCATGCGTTCTCCAGACCTCCACCGTTTTTAAGATTGTGTCCACAGCCGTTCTTATGGTGGTCCTTAGGCGCCATTTCGCTTTCGTTGACCGGCGTTCGTGATTTTTTTTATCCCGGGTAGGGGCAAAGACGGTAATCAACAAAAAAAAGGGTAGAATACCCGGCCCAAAATTATTCAATAAAAAGGGGCCCAAGGCCCAATATTAAACCTGCATCACCGTTTGACCCTAGGAGACGAAATCGTTAATTTGCAGTTTAACCAGTCTGGGATGTTCGTTCGTGCACCATCATCGATAATCCTGAACAATCAATCAATCTACTTTCCTCCTTCAAGTCGCAGAGTGTTCGACGGTCGAGATTTACTTGGTCTCCGATTCCTACAACCATGTCAGTCCCCTAACCTGAGCTCAGCTAGCTAGGGCTTTTCTCACTTTCGTGGAAAAAACTTTCCCGGGAAAAAAAATTATTGAATTAAAATTTTATCCAGCTCAGTTGGGTTTTATACGATTTTATTATTTGTGGGTTTTTTTTTTTTAATTTGTATTTTGCAAATTTTGTATGAAAAAGAACGGATTTTTAGTATAATTTTTCTGCATATTTTGTTGGAAAATTAAGGAGGAAATCTGTGAATCGTCCGCCGACGCCGGATGTTGCAGAAAATCAAGAAAAAGAGCGCACTCTTCAAGAGCTTATCAACATCGAGGTGCGGTGTTTTATTTTAATTTAATTAATTGTTATAGTTATTTATTTATTTTTGGAACTGAGGAGTTGATTTTACTGAGCTGAGTTAGATTATTCCGGTTTCTGGTTCGAATTTACCGCCTGGTTTTTACAGTTGATTGAGAGCGGTGAAAAGGAGAGGTTAATGGAGCTTCTGAGGGAAAGGCTGATAGAGTGCGGGTGGAAGGATGAAATGAAAGCTCTTTGCAGGTATTTCTGTGATCCATTCATCAATTACTGTATGGAATTTCAGTAAAAAGTAATGTCTCGTTATTTGATTAGTAATTTCGAGGTTGATGTGGGTTAGGCGAGTTGACCTGGATAGTGTTCCCGCCCCCTTGCACCCGAGTTCGAATCACCCTCCCCTTCAACCAGAGTAGTTTAGAATGTATATCGTCTTGTCATATGAACCTGAAGGTTCGGGACAATTGGAAATCTTTTAAAATGCGCCCTCACTGGATTTGTGATGCATCAGAAGTATGGCATTTGTTAGAAATTCAACAAACCCAGTTACAATGTTGATCAATTTAGGAAACACTCAGTAAATTTACCTAGGCTTCGTTGCCATATACTCGGACATGATTGTTTTGAGGTCATTGATTTTGGCTGATCTCCACACTCTCCTTTTGGAGGTTGCGGCGTGGTCCTAAGAGCTCGATGGTTGTGTAAGCTGAATCTTGTCTTTGGGATTACAGCAACCTCGATTATGCAATTGTATGCAAAAGCCAACTGTTCTAGCCTTGATGTTTGCAAATGGAATTGGATGCTAAGATAGCTTCAGTCATGAACTATTTGATAACTCGTACATCAAATCATCCATTACTTTCTATGTTGCAAAATCGTTTCTGTATATTTACCATAATGTTTTTCATGCACTCAACCAAGTGTTCACATATCAAGGTTGCTAATTGAGCATCTTTTAATATCTTTGTATCGTTAGGGCATTTATAAAGAAAAAAGGGAGGAACAATGTTACAGTTGATGATCTTGTACATGTAATGACCCCAAAGGGCAGAGGTAACTCTTTCTTTCTTTCTTCATATTCTTCTGATTGTCTCAGACTCACAATGGTTTGCATAAAAGGCCTTGTTTGTCTGCATAATTTGCTAAAAATATCATCTTCGTGGAAAACTTCCACATCTTATTTTACCAATTCTCCTATGGCGTACTGTGTTTGGTGTGCGTAATGCAAAGGTAGTGTTGAGAGTATGATAGATGATGGTGTCTTCATGGGAGCGGGTAGCATGATGGATGGTGTGGGAGGAGTTGGACGTCTCTGTAAAAATGGGCTGGTAGTGTTCATGAGGGAGTTTGGATTGTCTAGATGATGGTGTCTTTGAGCATTTGTAATGAAGTCGGGTGGGTGGTGCGGGTCGGAGTGGTAGTCTCATATTCTGTAGAATAGATGGGTTAGGAAGCTACAAGCCCGCAGTTGTGGGTTTTGTCAGAGCCAGGGAAGGTGGTTTTCTGGACCCTGTGGTCATGGTGTGGCTGTTTTCTTGTGATGCTGATCATTAGGGTCATTAAAACCCCTTCACTGTAGCTCGAGCGAGGTTTCTGTTTTGGCATTACTAATACTACACTTATCCTCTGTAGTAAAAATTAATCGGTTCCCTCATAATGTTATCCTCTCTAAGTGAGACTGAGCTTCATTTGGGAAAATGAAATGAAACTGACCGTACGTAAATTGACAATCAAGGAAAGTAGTCTTGGAATTAAAAGAGATTCAAGTTACCTGGATCTCGTTCGACCTTGACATAGTTTCGTCCAATTTCATGTGAACTAGATGTTAATCCCCCGTTTGCCAATTAGTACTCACCTCTTTTCTATCTTCGAATCAACTGATCTCACTGTTTAAATTTGCCATATATTTCTTTTTCCATTGTGTTGCTCTAACAATTGTAAGTTTGTCTCGACTCTTTTCCACACAGCCTCCGTCCCTGATTCCGTGAAGGCGGAGCTTTTGCAAAGAATTCGTACATTTCTTGTGTCAGCAGCTCTTTGATGCACCGTGTGGTTCCTGATTGTGACAAATCTAGGGATATGATGATGATGATGGGTGGTGGTGATGAAGAAGCTTTTTCTGAATGAAACTCATTAGTGAATAGCTTGGAGGGCGGCGGGATGCAACTCCCTTTTTATTTGTTATTTTTTTTGTTTCCATGGGAAAATTGTATAATTAATTGATGTTATGGAAAGCAACTTAAACGAACATTTATATTTTCTATCAAGTTTCTACATTTATCAAGCTTATCATGTAAAAGCCATCCATGGAGATGCCTCAAACTTCTAATTTGTTTGATAAACACATAAACTCAAATAGCATAATAAACACATAAACTCTAAATTGAGTGTTCAGAAACGAAATTTGGGTGTACAAAAAACCTCTTTACATACATTCACACAAATATTTTTAACCGTCATATGGTGATTGTAAATTGAGTGTTCAGAAACGAAATTTAGGTGTACAAAAAAACCTTTGTACATACGTTCACAAGAATATTTTTGACCGTTGTATGATGATTGTATTAGATAAATGTAATAAATATTGTAGTCAACTCCTTAATTAATGGTGGATGTTAGAATAAGAAAGAATGAAGATTCGGTATCTCGAATAGATTTTTTTGGTGATTAATCAATGATTAATGTATCGGTAAAGAAAGTAAAACAAAAAAATCAATCAGTAAGATTTTGTTACCTTTTTTGTGATCAGAGGAAATCTCAATCTCTTATATAAACAACCATGACCTCAAGAACCCTAAAACTTCGTTTTTCTGCATCGTTTCTAAAAATTACACTAATATGGGTCGAAGCAAATCAAAGTTACCTTTGGAGTTAATTCCGAACGAACGTTCGCGTAAGGTTACTTTTCGAAAGAGAAGGAACGGATTGTTGAAGAAGGCAGTTGAATTACGCACACTTTGTGATGTGAAGGTGTGTACAATCGTTTACGAGAGGAAATCCAAGGGCAAAGTGAGCAGATTAGCAACGTTCCCTGAGGAATTTAAAGATGTCGAGGAAATAATTGATAAGTACAAATCAAATTCATCAAAGGTAAAGAAGGTCCAAAGTTTGGGTGACTTCTACGCCACGCAAACGGTTCAAGTGAAGGAGGAGTTTGGGAAGCTACGCAGCAAGAGCTGTGAAGAGAAGTATCCTGCATGGGAAGATCGTCTCGATGCGTTTTCAGTAGAACAAATGCTCGACCTTTTGACAAATTTGGAGAACAAAATTGTAGATACTCATAAGATGCATGGCATGATGAAGGAATCAAATCAAATTGTTGTGCAAGAGACAATACCACCAAAGGTGAGCACCTTTAATTACCAAATCTTTGTCGAATTTTTGTTTTGTAGTTTTTAGGGCCTCCTTTGGCATCTAGGATTATAATTGATCAGATAACTAACTAAATTTGATGTATTTTGAAGGAAGAAATTGTCGTTAACATTCAAATTTTGTTGAAGGTATATATATAATTAAGATGGATTAGCCATGAAAGAAATTTTTCCTTCATAACAATTTCGTGAAGATTGGAAGGGTTTTGGAAGTCGGCATCTGTTTTTTCATTTAGAATACACGACTTTAGCGAGTTATCAAATCCAATCCAATCGTTAAGACCAAGGTCTAAGCGTTATTAATTAATCAAAGCTGGCAAAACTCGAAATTAACAATAATCTACTTTTTAAAATAATGTGCAGGTCACGTTTGAAAGCAACCAAGAGTATTCTCAGATGCAATCTGCAAGCACATTCTGGGCTAATAACAACAACATTCAGTACACTTGTTCTTCAGCTACTACTTCCAACTCCAACATCAAAACATCTACGTGGGATATTCCTGCGCCATATGGAAATATGGATGGGAACTCAACCTTCTATAATCCCATGCAGCAGCAGCAGCCATGCATGTACGACTCAATATTTTCAAGTGCTGCATCTCAACAAGAAGAAGAAGCAGTTGTTCCAAGTGTTGAAAACCCTAACACTATTGGCATTGTTCCGTTGAGCGTTTCGTACGATCAGCCAATGCTTTCGCTAACCATGCAGCCGAGTTATCTGGAATGTCCGATTTCAGCAAGTGCTTTTGGTTTGTCATCCGAATACGAACAACAGTTTGGTGCATTTCAATCACAGCACATGTTTTACGACAACGTATTCTTCGACAACATGGCGCATTTCGAATAAAACAGCAATTGGAAGGCTCTGGATACTCGATCGATGCATGTTTGAGGGTTTTAAAAGTAGATTAAATATTTAAACACTACTACATATAGGCTGGATTTGGTGTTCTGGTTATCTCTTATATATGCAAGTGGTTTAATGGATACTAAAATTATGGGAAGTATATATCTTGTTAATATATTTTGCATCTTATATATGTTGTGCATGTAGAAGGCTAACTTGGTAGCGGTTTTTTAACAAGTGTTTTGATATAGGTGCCTCGTTTTTCAATTTCGTTGAAGAAAATGTAGGAGATTCTAATTACTCTGTCTTTTAATTCCTTGTTAGTGAACGAAACAAAATTTGTTAGTGAACGAAACAAAATTAGGATGATATCTAGCAGAGTAGTACAAAAGTTATTATATACATGATTAACGGACGTTTGATTGGGGTTTAGGGTTTAGGGTTCAGGCAATGCTACCGTTACAGTTATTGCATGCATCCGCCTCGCAAACGATTGAGAATTGAAAGAAATCACAAGGGCAAGCAAGCATTGAGCTAGAAGAAGCTACATTAGTAAACAACATGGTAGATGCTCTTTATTTTTACCAAAAACCAACACTAGGAACAAGAGACGGGCATCCCCAACTCAAGTTTATGGGTACAAATTTGAGGCACACCATCAACTAAGGACTTGACCTTAAGGAGGTTTTATCATTACATTACACAGCGACAGCGCAGTCGGTTCTCTTTTACATCTTCCGACTGCTTTTCATCGTTATCAAAGCTATCAAGTGTTGTACAACTTAAAACAAGCAACTTCACGAGACGAGATCACTTATTCAGCAGCGCTCACTCACGAGAACACTATATAACTCCAGACGATAAAGGAAAAAAGGAAAAAAAAACCACCAGACTTAACCCCCCAAGCTTGCGCTCCATGGAAAATCTGTTGAAAGCACACAGCTGATATGCACCACAAAAACCTACATCGACATATTGCTGCCAACATTTAGCTTATGCTGCAGAGCCCGCTTGTTCGCATAGGTCCAATAGCTCCAGGGTCTGCAAAATCATTAAACATCAAATGAGTTTATACGAGGTAATTACAATTGAACCAACAAAATGCAATGCAGACAATGACTTTAGCCGTCATACCTCAGGAACTGACAGCTCAAGACGGAACTTGGGACCGTCATAGTGGTGCAAAACTGGCCTGAAGGCATCTTCTTCCAAAGCCTTGCAGATTTTTCTAACACAGATCCTTACCTAGTAATCAATTATAACAAAGGGAGACGGTGTCCATCAATAAATTGGAAAAGTGCAAAAAATCGAAAGAAACAGAACTTTCCACTTCATCATTTCAAATTTACCTGAGCAGGAAACCTAGATTCACCTTTACACTTCTTGTCTTCCCAAGCAGTTGGATCAATGTTTGAACCACCAAAGCTTGCTGCCTGCACAAAACCAATTGAAAAAGGAGAAACAATAAGCTAATAATATCACAACAACCTTACTTGAAGAAGCTAATATCATAGTCCAATCTGTATACTTTCTATACTGCAAAGAATATTGCAGACTAAAGTTTGACATAAGAATATTACTATATGGTAAGTTTGAGAACAAACCTCAAAAATGCCATGCAGCTGGTGTGTCGTATAATTGTAGAGAAACAGCGGCAGGCCTGGTGTTATTGCCCGAACAGAATCCCTATACCTTGGAGGTAAACCTACCATATACATATAATGATTAATACGAAAGAGAATTACTTGGGAGTGTCAAAGAAGGAATATAAAATATATAATTCAAAAGCATAATCTGCATTTATTGTTAACTCAGGAATTAAGTTGCATGGCTAGAGGAATACATACTAAAATCACAAATCATTTCGTCCAATATATCATAATCCTACTTATAACTTTTAAGAATTCAGATCCCTATGGAAATCCCTAATAAGCACTAGCATAAACTCAAGGACCCTTTACATGAACTAGCATCTCAGTAAAGATTGCAAATGCATCGTGCAGGGAATGCCAGCTAGATGTCAGTCATTTATACCTGGACCTTAAGTTGTAGACTGAAATTTAACTTATAAAAAAAGTTTAAAACACGAAAACAGATTCTTAAGTGAGCTAAGAATTAGTCAAACTTACCAAATAGTTGTCGCTTCAAATCTTCCTGCATTGTGTCATTGTTGCATACAAAGATGTAACCTCCAAGCACCTCATTTCTTGGGAGCGTCTCAGTTGCCGGCAAGGTCTTGAACCTTTTCTCAACTGTATTTGCAGATTCGTTGTTGTTATTGTTGCTGTTGTTGATTTCTTTGTTGCTGTACTTGTTTCCAGTCATGTTTCCCACAATGCTTGCACTGTTTTTCTGGTAAACTGCATTCATGTTATAAATACCATTCCTGAAGGAACTTTTGCTCACATTTTCATTTACTTTAGAATCCAAGCTCAGCATGTTAAAGTATTGGCCTTCAAATTTGTTATCTTCCTGGAACCCAAATTTATCCCTTGCCCTTTGTTCAGCTGGGCCCTTTGAAAGATCAAGGTTATTCATACGCTCGCCCTTTACCCTTGTCTGCTCAGCCAATTTTGAAGCAGCCATTAACCATTTGTGATCTTCTGCGACTTTTGACTGCCCTCGGAGCTCATCACCCAGTTGCCAAAAGCTGTTCAAGCTCTCCATCTTGCAAACTCTACTCAGATTGACAGATCCTGTAAAACAGTGTTCAAAGAAAAAGAAATTAATAGATGAGTTAGAAAACTTAAAAACGGGGTTGAGAATAGGAAACCAGTTAAACTTAAAATGTTAAAACATATAGCAAATATGCATCATAGGAAAAGCTTATCTAATTAAAAAATTGCACAAAGGCAGTAATAACTATACAAATGCCAAAAGGAACTTTGATTAATGAGCACTGATGGCAGATTAAACAAATTAAGCAAGACCAAAAGAGAACATTCACAATTGGATCGCAGGCATACCGAAACATGAAATCTATTACTTTTTCCTTTCTTTTTTTTTTTTTTTTTTTTTTTGAAAAGAAACAAGAATGCTGCATTCAATCAATGCACTTAAATTGAGAAAAGAATTCAACCCACCCCTCCCCAAAACCCTAAAAAGAAAGTAAAGAGGATAAGGGAATCAATAAAACAGCTAATCTATTCACAAGAGAGAGTTGTGGCACCCTCATATACATGAGCAAGAGAAACAAGCCTGAAAAACTTTGAGAAGTGGATGAAAATAAAGATATACGCGATCAATTGGCAGATAAGATAATAATAACCTTCGCGTTGGAATCAGCATGCTATATTACCATTTATAAACGCAGACTGTTAATCAATAGAAAAATACAAATCTTTAAACAAATTCATTTCGGTGGTTGTTTAAACACAGACACTCAATATTCAAAGTCTAACAAGGTAATTTTGAGATATTGCTATCAATATACCGAAAATAACCATATACAAATCTCTGAAGCTGAGTCTGCATAAATGAAAATAATTTTATGAAAGGACATTTATGCCTTTAAAATTAGGAAAACAAAGACTTCCCAGTAACTAAGTTTAGAATTTACCCAAATTTTTGCAAGGATAGTTTTAAAAATGGAATGTTAAAATATGAAATGTTAAAATCACATAAAAAAGTTTGAAACTCTAAAATTCATTTCACAATTTGGCTTCCTAAAGTATTACCCAATTGGGTTTGCAGAAACACACCTCCACTACAAAATCTGACATGGGAAGCCATTTCTCAGCGTTTTCCAATTTTTTTTTTTTTTTTTTTTAAGTTGTTCTCAAAATTTGAAGTATTTGAAAATAAACAGAAGGTTAAAAAAACGAAGCTTTCAAATTTTGCCTTACATACTTCTCATGATAGGAAATTAACCTAAAAGACCCAGAAACAACATTTTCCAGCCAACCAAACAAAGCAGGGAACAACAATTACAGCTACAAAGTCAACCAAAATACATAAATATAAATATAAATTAATTCCAAATCGTGAAAAAAAATAAGCTAATCAGTTAACAAAAACCTAAATCCATAAAATCAACAAATAAACTCCAAAATCAAAGATCCAGAACGCGCATTTGATATTAAAACAAGAAAAAGAGCAGAGCAACATAGATTAAAGAGAACGAGATGCAATTAACGAAATGTAGCAAATAATTACCAACTAAACTGAGATTAAGCAAATAAAGCTTCAATTTTTAGGTTCAAAGAGGAAGTGGGGGGCTCAGGCTTTGATTTTGTGGAGTGAGTGAATTTTCAACTGGTTAGAAGAACCCTAGATTTGGGGATCAGAGGGGAAGGCTTTACCTTTTATCTGCCGTGCGATGTGAAACCGGAAGATGCGACAGAAGACAGCACAGCAGCTGGACTTTTAGTGTTGTATATATGCTGCACTTTACTGATAATGCCCTCGAGTGTTTGCTGAATTACATTTGTTGCCAATTGGGGTTTTGAATCTTTTCTGGTGGTCATGAGTCTCATGACACATGACTCATGAGTGTCACGATCCATGGGATGTATCGGTTACATGGAAAGGTTCACATGATTTTTCATACGATTCATAGTTTATTTTAGGGGATTAACTAGTCATTTTGTTACAGACTTTATTGAAATTTGGAAAGACTCACATAGACATTTCAGTCTTTTCATAAACATCATCGTATGACTCACTAGCATAAGAAATTGAATAACATGAAGAAAAAAAAATGTTTGAATTAATAACTTAAATTATCCCAAAACTTAAATTTATATATATATATATATATTGTGATTAAGTTATAAAATTTCAACTATAAGTCGAATGAGGATCCCTTTCAGATCCTTTTTGTGAGGATCATGAGGAATTCTTAAATTGTGTTCATTCATCATACATCGTGCGACCATAAATCATTTTAAATATTTTTATTTAAATTAAACATGAATCGTACCTGACAAAAACTATTTGCACAATTTACAATGAACAGACACAATTTGAAGATTTCCAGGATTCTCATAAAGAGAATTCGAAGAGATTCCTCGTTCCTATAAGTAAACGTGGGTTGCTTGATTTGTTTGACATGAACAATAAATTTGTTTGGAAATAATTTTTTGAGACAAAACGATAGCATAATTAGCATACATAGTGAAAGATACGAAAATAGTGAATTAGAATGGTTTGACAATCATACCTAATCACATGTATTTGCAACACTACATTATGGATATAAAAGGTCACTTGAATTTTTAGTTCAAATTATAGTTGAATAATCAACTAGCTATTAGCATAGCGATATCTCTCATACTAAGATCGAGAGTAGTATCAAGTTCAATTCTCTAACGCCCAAAACTATGGAATTGTTAAATTGGTGGTCTTTCCCGTACTTACATATTATACATGAAAGAGGTTGGAATTTAATAACCACCCTCAAACTCGAGTGAAACAAACCACCAACAGGATCGATGCTTTTGGAGATGATCTTGAAGATTCATGAATCATATATGTTTTTATCATGTATTGTGTTTAATTTTAAATAAAAATATGTAAAATAATTTTTTACCGCACAATATACAATAAATATAGAAGATTAACGGATCTCCTAAATTCTCATAAAGGGAATCTAATAAGGATCCGGATTCAACAACAGAACAACCCAGTCGGTGTGCTTGACAAATGGCACGGGATGAGTCCAACGGGGAAAAAGGTGACAACAGCAGGCGGGGCCTGAGCCGGGCCGTAGTCCTTTGTCACAAACTTCCCTGCTTCCACCGTTCACGTCTTTTACCCAACATGCTCATCCAATTGACATGACTTCTAATTTTTATTTATTTATTGTTTTATTTCTGGGTCAGATGAGTTCGAAATTAGATTCCACCGCTTGTCGGAATGTTTTGGCTTTTGTATCGGCAATGACTTGCGTCATACTTGACGACAAGTATTATGAATTTGTCGTCCAAGTGATTAAGTGTGTTTGTTGTTATACGTGAGGTTTTGCGTTTGAATCTTCGACTTTGGAGAGTGTATGTGTCAAAGAAAAAAGAATAATGTGCTATGTAATTGCTGGCGTATAATTTATCAATTGTAATCCAGATAATATTTGTCTTTCTACCAAACAGAATTACAATAATATTGATTTGAAATTATGAACAAGAAATCCCCCTGTTATGTCTGTTGAGCTGCAGACCAAGCCGGCTTAAATATCATCAACTTGTAACGATATTTTTATATGAACAATATTCTATGTGTTCAGTGTCTATTTTATAACATAGTTGGTGGGGTTGCTTGCCAGGTAACGTGTGAGGTCTTGCAAATATTAAGAGCGTTTTATTTTAAAAAAATACATTGCTTTTTTACCAAAAATTAAATAAATACATTGTTCCTCAGGAAAATTAATTTCGTTAAAAATGATCAGTACTGAGAATGTTTCGTTAAAACTTCGTTATTCACCAATGTGTTAGTATTAAAAATAAATAAAAAATCCTTTTGAGTTTTGAGCCTTTTCATGGTTCACGAGTATTGTAATGGACCAACCCTTCAAATAGTTGATTTTGGTCCGAACTTCGAAATTGGCTTGGGCTCTGGCGCCTCATTTGCACAGATGTGCCACAAAGTCATATTTTTCTTTGAGGAATACTAAGAAGATACTCTTAAAATAATTTTATATGACTCTCTAATATTTCATGTTTTTTCATAATATTTTATAATGTTAGCTCGTAAATTGACGTTAAATTGTAAGCTATCAAAAAGTCCCTTTATTATTTCTCTCTTTCTTTTGAAATTGCCAATAAATATTACAAGGAGAGTGTCAAACAATACGATGCTTTCTAGCAAACTTAGCACTAACGTTTATATTTGGATTTTTTTTTTTACTTTATCAAACGTTGTGTGTTAATTATTTCACAAAACATAAGACGTTTAATGCCTTTGAAATTTTATTTTATACTTTTCATCTTTAATCTCTAGCTAAAAGAAGTAAAGGTTCCTTGATTTTTGTGTACAAAATGACCCGTGGTATTTGATAAGTGAAAATGTCTACACGCAAAAGTTGTTGGTATTCCCCTTTTACTTTATATTTAGTGAACAATTAGCAATGTCACAAACTTATAATACTATAAGTTCGATTTTAAAGCCCCTTGGTCTATTAAAATGAATCAAATGTAACCTTTTTTTTTTTAGTTTTGTTCTATTGAAGTGCGTATGCTACAAAAGGGTCAATTTTATCACGTTTTTCGTTAGTTTTTCTTACTTAAGAACGTCTACTAAGTACACTAAAATAATCCTTCATGCAACGAGATAACTATCTAATTGAAGGTAAGAAACTAATGAACGCATTTTAAATTCTTATGGAGCTTCATAACCAAATTCAAATTTGAGATAGGCAAGTCAAGAGAAGATGTTAAATTCAAGAGAAAAATTGGATGTAACTTGAGTCACGTGATTAGCTAGATGATCAGACAGTTTTATAAAAATAGGAGCACAACTCTAGTTGTTTTTATTTTTAAGAAAAAACATATTGTAGTCATAATTTTTTAACACGTCGAGCTAAAGAGGTAGAAAAAAAGAAAAAAAAAGAAGAAAGAGAAATGGCGTCACTCTAAGCATCTTCTAAAACCCTACTATCCGTATAGAGCACGCAAAACCCCTGGCAAATTTCCAGTGCCATGGATTTGCAGCACAACGACTTCGATCGCATTCTTTTCTTCGAACACGCCCGCAAGATCTCCGAAGCCACCTACATTAAGAACCCTCTCGATGCCGATGTTCGTATATATCTCTATCTTCCTAATTTGCCACTCCTTTTTCTTTTTTCCATCTTTTCTTGCTAGCTTTCGAGTTTTTTATTTTATTTTTAAGAAGTTAAATTTTGATCTGGGTTTTCGTATTTTGTAATTTGCAGAACTTGACGAGGTGGGCTGGAGCTCTGCTGCAGCTTTCCCAGTTTCAGAATGTTTTGGAGTCAAAGAAGATGACTCAAGGTGCTAACTTTAAATTTCCCCAATATATCTGTTTTAAATTTTGGGTTTAATTATTTTAGATGTTGGAATTCTCCATGTATTTATCTGGTAGCCTTGAAAATTTGAAATTTGGGACTGTTTTTCATATGGTTTATTTGAGAGTTTCGAATTTGCAAATGCGGGTTTGTGTTTGTTTGCCCAGATGCTATTTCGAAGCTGGAGGAGGCATTGATGATTAATCCTAGGAAACATGATGCTCTGTGGTGTCTGGGAAATGCTCAAACTGCTCGCGGATTTTTTACTCCGGACCACAATGAGGCAAGGGTTTATTTCCAAAAGGCGTCTCGGTGTTTCCAGAAGGCTCTTGATGAGGTACTTCCCCTGAAAAATCTCAAACAATACCGCATTGTTTTTCACCTTTCGATGTGCAATAAGTATCTTATGTTCTTTTTACAGGAGCCGGGAAATGATCTGTATCGGAAGTCTTTAGAAGTGGCTGCTAAGGTGCACTGCTTTCTAACCTGATCTCTTGACAATGCTTGGCTTTGTTGTTGAAATCGTGTGTTGGCATCCATTTTGGCGTAGCAAGACGTGCATAGAAATTTCAATTGTCTCGGGTTTAATGTAGTGTCGGTTTTGTTGAGATTGTAAGAATCAACTAGCCAAGATCCAGATTAAAGCCACAGTAAACACAATCAAGAAAGTACAAAACTGTTTAGACATGAACAACTGTATTTACACTAACCTGATGAACCTCCATTGAAGAAAGCCATTGCAGCAGATGTCCAGATCCTGCAGGCTGCAACTCTTCTCCTCTCTGGTAGAACTCTTAATGCTCTAACTAAGAATAGGACTTAGTTCTAGACTGAGCGTATGTTCCTGAGAGCAGAGATTGCAGCATATATATACATACATATATCTCTCCTAATCCAATGGGGATTTCCTATTACAATCCACTTAGGAAACAACTCATGTTTCCTAGTCTATATCAGTTCTTCTCCATGACAGATTCCTCTATCAACAAGAACTTATATTCATCTTCCTATAAGGCTTTCTTATATTAATCGGACCAAATAGCTAATGCTAGTTCACCAAATACTCATGTTCATATTCTTACATTCTCCCACTTGAACATGAGACATTGAACGAGCACAGCCTTCACCAATTATAAGAAGTGATCACATAGCCTTATTTAAGATTTTATCATCATGACCAATGTCCTACTGCATTTCAAAACACAGAAGCCAAGAATCTCAGATTATTGCCTAAAACAATCAATGATTCAAGACTCACATGTATCCAATCTGCAATTATGACACATGATTAACAATACCAATCCAGAATATGCTCCCACTTTTCAAAAGATTACAATCTATATCAATCTTCAATGAAAACAGCATTTCAATAACTGAATAAAATTCACGATACATACAACTTTTAAAACAAACAAATTGTTCTTGCAAAGCATCATATGAATCTAACAAGTCTATCATCAAAACCTCAACACTCCAACACGGAAGCCTTAAGTTTCGAAACAAAACTGTTATTAAAATATAAAACAGTCTAACAAAATATCTCAGTCTGCTTGCTCAGACCAAAATGTAAACAAAATGCCAAATTGAATTACTCACATAGCAGCAACTTGCAATGTTTCTGAAACAGATCAATTACTCCCACTGATCTAGAGTTTCCAATACTCCCATCCGAGATACATGTTTCTGAAATTCTCCAATGGACAACGCTTTAGTCAAAGGGTCTGCAATCATCATAACAGTGCTGATGTGCTGAACTTCAATCATCCCATTCCTCACTTCCTCTCTTACTTTAAGGAATTTTACATCCATTAACCTTGAGGCAGAAGTTCTTCTATTATTCTTTGCAAAAAACACAGCAGAGTTATTATCACAAAACATCCTTACTGGTTTCTGGACTGATTTCACGATTTTTAAATTAGTCAGAAAATTCTTCAACCACACAGCTTGTTTCATTCCTTCAAAACAAGCTACGAACTCTGCCTCCATAGTGGATGTGGCTATCACAGTTTGCTTCGCACTCTTCCAAGAAACTGCACCACCATTTAACATGAAGACGTAACCACCGGTTGATTTCCTATCATCTACATCACCAGCCAAATCTGAGTCAGTGTATCCTTCAAGTTCCAAGGATTCGCCTCTTCCATAAACCAACATGAAATTCTTGGTTCTTTGTAAATATCTTAGAACCTTTTTGGCAGATATCCAATGTGCTTCTCCTGGATTTGATTGAAACCTTCCCAACATTCCAGTTATAAAAGCAAGGTCAGGTCGTGTACATATAGTTGCATACATGAGACTTCCCACTAGAGAAGCATAAGGTTTACCCTGCATTTTCTCTGTCTCCAAGTCAGTCCTCGGACATTGACTTTTTGAGAACTTATCCCCTTTATGAACTGGAACCTGTCCACAACTACAATTCTCCATATTGAACCTGTGTAATATTCTATCAATGTACCCTCTTTGTGATAAGCCAAGTAATCTTTTCTGCCTATTCCGTACAATCTCAATCCCTAACACATAGTGTGCCTCTCCTAGATCCTTCATATCAAAACTTTCACTGAGCATCTTCTTAGTTCTCTGTAATAACTGTGGACAGGAGCTTGCTAGAAGAATATCATCAACGTAAAGTACCAGAAAAATGAACTGAGAACCAGAAATTTTAAGGTAAATGCAATCGTCCAATTTGTTTTCTTCAAATCCCTGAGAAGAGACAATCTGATCAAACTTTAAATACCATTGTCTAGAGGCCTGTTTTAACCCATAGATGGACTTATTGAGCTGGCAAACCATGTTTTCCTTCCCCCTTTCAACAAATCCAGGTGGTTGTTTCATGTAGATGCATTCCTCTAAGTTGCCATTAAGAAAAGCTGTTTTGACATCCATTTGATGCAGCTCTAAGTCAAAATATGCAACTAATGCCATGACAACTCGCATTGAATCTTTAGAAGAGACTGGGGAAAAAGTATCGTTGTAATCAATACCTTCTCGTTGAGTGAAGCCTTTTGCAACTAATCTTGCTTTGTGTCTCTCAATTTTACCAAGAGCATCTCTTTTGGTCTTGTACACCCACTTACAACCTATAGGCTTGATTTGAGGGCTAGATTCCACAAGTGTCCAAACATTATTTTTATACATTGAATCTAGTTCCTCTTTCATAGCATTCTGCCATAGAGTTGACTGTGAACTTTCAATGGCCTGAGAGTATGAAATAGGGTCATCCAAATCACCAATATCAAAATCTGCTTCTTGCAAGTAAACATAATCACTCATAGCAGTTGATTTCCTTACTCTTGTAGACTTTCTGGATTCAATTGACACTGGTTGTTCAGAATTTGAAGCAGATGCAGGTGCAGGAAATTGATTATCGATTTCCATAGTTTGGTCAGCGAGAGAATCCAAATCTGCAAGTGTTTCTTCTCTTTCATTACTTGATGGTTGACTGAATAAAGGGACCTGAGTGTAGTTGAGGGCTTCTGAGATGTCTTGTAACTGATCCACCTCTTCAAAAATGAAATTCTCCCGCGATAGATCTGTAACATCTTGATCCTCCAAGAATACTGCATTATGCGTTTCTTGGATCCGAGTGTAATGTTGAGGAACATAGAATCTGTAGCCTTTTGACTTTTCAGGATACCCTATGAAGTAACAAGATTGAGTTCTTGAATCTAACTTTCTTTCATTAGGATTGTAGAACCTTGCTTCTGATTTGCAACCCCAAACGTGAAAGTATTCAAAATTTGGTGTTCTACCATGCCATAGCTCAAAAGGTGTTGATATAACAGATTTGCTCGGCACTCTGTTCAAAATGTAATTTGCTGTCTTCAATGCTTCTCCCCACAAGAAACCAGGCAATTTGGATCTCGACATCATGCTCCTTACCATACCTATGAGAGTTCTATTCCTTCGTTCTGAGACTCCATTTTGTTGAGGTGTCCCAGGTGTTGTATACTGAGCTACAATGCCGTTTTGCTCTAAATAGACTGCAAATGGTCCCTTTTGTTGTCCTGATTCAGTGTACCTGCCAAAGTATTCTCCTCCCCTATCCGATCTAACAATTTTAATAACTTTACCTAACTGTTTTTCAACCTCAGTTTTGTAAACAATCTCTTTCATTGGAGATGTGCCCTAACCTCTTATGCCAAAGAATATAAGACGAATCATGCTCTAACATTCTTTTTGAATTGACATTCAGAACACACTGATCAACAGAATCATTTATACATTCCAGTCGCCAAAGATTTTCAGACAAGAGGGCAATGCCCAAAATTTTATGAAAACTGTTTTTCTTAAAAATTTTCAAACATATATCATCAGCAGAGAATGCATAGCCATCTTTTATTATTTTAGAAGCAGAGAGCAAGTTTCTTCTCATTTTAGGCACATAGAGCACATCTTTCAGTCGTAACACGAAACCAGAATTCAGTTTCAAGTTCACTACTCCTATGGCAAGCACTGCAACCTTAGTCCCTTCCCCCACATAGACATTATACATAGTATTTCCAATCTCCTTTTGTTTTTGAAAACCTTTCAAAGAATTAGTTATGTGAACCGAGCATCCAGTGTCAAACCACCAAGAATCAACAGGTACTTCACAAAGATTTGATTCAACACAGACAAGTACTTGTTCCTTTTCTTTGCTCTTCACAAAATCTTTAAAAATCTGACAATCAACTTTTAAGTGCCCTTTAGTCTTGCACCAAAAACACTTAAGTTTAGACACATCTTTAGGTCTAGGTTTAAAGTTGATAGATTTTCTAGGGGAGTTATTTACTTTAGCAGATATATTGAATTTGTTAGAATTCTTAGTGAATTTAGAATTCTTACCAGGACCTGAAGAGCTGCCATTATTGAATGCTCTCTTCTCTCGTCCAGATTGCACATAATTTGCTTCTTCGATTTCCTTGCCTTTCTCTTGCTTTTGCCGAGTTTCCTCTTGCACACATTGTGCAATCAATTCATCTATACCCCAGTTCTTGTCCTGAGTGTTGTAAGAGACTTTTAACTGACTATACTTGGTAGGGAGGGCTTGAAGGATCATGAATACAAGCTGCTTCTCACCAATGTTTATTTCCATAGAGTTTAGCTTCTCGGCAGCATCTGACATTTTCATTATATGATCCCTTATTGAACCAGTACCTTCAATCTTGTATTGAGTCAACACAGACATATACTGGCTTACTTCTGCCTTCTCAGACTCCTTGAATTTCATTTCAATTGCAGCCAAATATTCCACAGCAAGCTCTGGTTTCTTGATTCCCCCTCTGATAGTGTCAGTCATTCCAGCTTCTATGATGGAAAGTGCTACCTTGTTAGCTCTTGACCACCTCTCAAAATCTGACTTCTCAGCTCTGGTGCTTTGATCACTCATAACAGGTTTGGGATTTTCAATTGCTATATCAAACTCATTGAGAGTCAATAGCAAGTTGATATCCCTCCTCCATTTCTTGTAATTACTACCACCAGTAAGGATCGGAATATTTGCTAAGTTTAAGGTCTTCATAGATATTGCAGACATCGATGAACCTGATATCACCATATGAACATTCAAAGTTCTGATTTCATTTCACAGTCTATTGCACATCAAAGCTTTATAACCAATACCCATATATACAATCTTAACAACAACCAGTTGATAGGCGCATATAGGATTATTGATTTCAGAGTAGATCATAAACTGATCACCATATATTCAGAACCAACCATCACACTGATTTGTTCCATATATCTTAGTTTATGATCTGATTAGTTACAATAAATTTTTCATAATTTTAACCAGATATAATCATCTTACGAATGACTTCATTCTTTATACAGATCATTAAGATGCATTATTCTAAGAAACTAAATCATATGCCAAGAATGACTTCTTTCATGTTCATAAAAAATTATAATACAAATCTCTAAACATGGTTCTTCATATTTCTTATCCGAGTATTGAAGATTACATACCTTTTAAAGAGACAACCATCAACACATAGCAGCGGAAACATTTTTTGTACAGGTATTGAACACTCAATAACCAGATTTGATTTACTCGGATTGCAAATAAATGGGTCAGGATGAGAGGGACGAGTTAGAGTTCTCTTCCACTGATGAACAAAACTCAGAAAACCTCAAACAGAGAATCGCATCGATTTCGAATACCAACAGTCAAATTAAACTAACCTAATTTTATTAAAACGCACCGTTTTAAGAAAACCTGTTCTGAGATTTAAAACCGGTTTCGAAACCTGATCATGGTGATTTTCATTGACCCGTGCTTGATTGATTTTAAGAACTTAAATCTAAGGCTCTGATACCACATGTAAGAATCAACTAGCCAAGATCCAGATTAAAGCCACAGTAAACACAATCAAGAAAGTACAAAACTGTTTAGACATGAACAACTGTATTTACACTAACCTGATGAACCTCCATTGAAGAAAGCCATTGCAGCAGATGTCCAGATCCTGCAGGCTGCAACTCTTCTCCTCTCTGGTAGAACTCTTAATGCTCTAACTAAGAATAGGACTTAGTTCTAGACTGAGCGTATGTTCCTGAGAGCAGAGATTGCAGCATATATATACATACATATATCTCTCCTAATCCAATGGGGATTTCCTATTACAATCCACTTAGGAAACAACTCATGTTTCCTAGTCTATATCAGTTCTTCTCCATGACAGATTCCTCTATCAACAAGAACTTATATTCATCTTCCTATAAGGCTTTCTTATATTAATCGGACCAAATAGCTAATGCTAGTTCACCAAATACTCATGTTCATATTCTTACAGAGATGTCAATTGTTCTTGATTACAATATTTCTAGAACTGTATTCTCTTATACTCTTTTATCTGCTCTACTAGTTTATGTTATGTATGTTACAGTTAGACCTAAATTGCAAAGTTACTAATTACTGTGTTTATAGACCCCGCAACTGCACTTGGATTTACACAAGCGTGGTTTGGGTCAACTGGGAATGGAGGCTGCTGCTGGAGCAGGAACTGGACCTTCTACTTCAATTGGTGGAAAGGTACTATTTTTGTCTCACAGTTCCTTTTTCCGATACCTTTGTTCTTTTATGTTCGTGTTTTCCTTACTAAAAGTTATTACGTTTTGCCAATTTAATTTCTTATGCATGCTTCTGTTGTGTTATCGAATTTGAATTTATGGTCCAAAACGAATGTTATTACGAATAATAGGTCCCAGACTCTTAAATTTTGAATATTAGGCAATGAGACAGATGATACAGTACTATTTCATCAGTGAAAGTAAAACAAGTTTCACTTGGTATCCAACATTTGGGATTCATTTTCGCCCATCTAGTATCGTGATATTTTTACATGTTCAATTATTGACAGCGGAGTCCTGGTATCTTTTATGCTTTTTATTTCTACTTGATCTGTCGACGGTTTGTTACTTTGTCCTCCTCCCTTTGCTCTGCAGGCTACAAAGAAAAACAAGAACAGCGATCTCAAGTATGACATATTTGGTTGGATAATCCTTGGTGTCGGAATTTTTGCTTGGCTCAGATATGCAAAGTCCCATATGCCTCCTCCTCCGCTTCTGCAGTGAGTATAGCAGTAACTGGTCATAACTTTTGTTACTCTGGAAGGCAGTTTGGAGATCAAGTTAACTTTTACAGTAGCGATGACAGCGTGACTGATATAATAGATGAACGATATTTAATATTTTATCGAGTGAAATATAAATGATGATTTTGCAGCTAGTTTTTGTGGATGTTGGTTTGTTTTGGCTCTTAATACGAATTTTTTATTAACGCGATTAATTAAGCTAATGTACTACATTAAGCTCATCTTAATCTGAAAATTAGTTAATTAAGCCCAAAGTCTGGGGTTGGATGTATAATTTGGGAGGTTAAACTCATAAGATTTCCTTTTTCTAAGCAATGGAGTAATTTTTTAATATGGCAGTCACGCCTAGATTACGATCATTGACGACTACTAGAGCATATAAAAATTAGTTCCGACAAACAAAATAATTTATAACTCGTCTTATAGATAAATTTTAAGGAAAACTAATGAAAATGGTTTGAAAACTTTGAGTTTTAATGATAAAGACAAAATAAAGAGTAAAGTGAATAGTACCATGATTGACTTTTTAGTGTAAAAATATGGTTTTTTGTTAAAGTGAACGTGGACTTTTCGTTAAAACTCCTTAAATTTTAAAAGTGTTTATGAATCATATTAGCTCATTCATGAAGCATTTTAATTTTTTCACAGATAATGGCAAATTAAACGAATCCAATAATATGTGAATTAGTAACATCACATTAGAGTCTTATATAAACAAATAAAGAGACTAAAGTGAGACTTAAAAAATAAAAAATAAAATAAAATAAAAAGAAAAAGGAAAATTAATTTAAAAAGCTTGAAAACTTTACGTTTTAATGAAAATAACAAAATAAAAGCTAAAACGAATAGTACTAGAATTAATTTTTTAATATAAAAATATAATTTTTTCGTTAAAATGAACAATACGGCGAATTTTTCGTTAAAATTCTTTGAGAAAAACCCAGCGGAGCAGCCCATTCGCCCACTACGCATTGAGGCGAGTCGTCATCGGGTTTTCCACGTGCTATGCCTCTGAGACGACGGCGTTTTCCTCTTGTGAAGCTGGAAGTTTCTATACGCCGGCTGATTGTACGTAACCATTGGCGGACGTTTTCCGACCGTCGTTTCGGTGCGAGAAACTCCAAAACAAAGTAAAAGCCAAGAATTAAAGGCTCTTTGTAATTTTCTATCTCTAAAAATTTGAGATAATGGCCGCGTACTGTTACGGTTGCCAGACGGAAGTGTATAACGGCGGCCACCTAGCTTCCTCCTTCGGCTTCCCGCGGTCTTCGGCGGCGCCTGCAACTTTCGGCCGCGTATACTTCGACGCCCCGAAACCCCGCCGTTTCCAAGTCTTAGCTCTCTCCGTTAAGCGCAGCCCCAAGCGCCTCAAATACGCCGCTCCTCGCTTCACCAAGGTCCTCTCTCTCTCTGTTGAAATGTAAATTAACAAAACTTTGGGGTGAATTTGCAAAGATTATGGAAATTGATTGAGTGATGATATGATCAGGAGGATGAAATGCTTTACGTTGAAGTTGATCCGTTGCAATCGGGAGCTGACAGCTGGAAATTGGAACCCGTTGTTGATCTTCTGAAACAAGGAGCTGTTGGTGTTGTTCCTACTGATACTGTGTAAGTTTGTAAATTTAGCATAGTTCAAATGCCCGCGGTTTAAATTAGATTAGAATATCGCTGGAATGGAAAGAAAAGTTTGTAACTTTTGACAGTAATTGCATTGTAGGTATGCATTAGTCTGTGATTTGAGGTTTAAATTAGATTACAATATCGCTCGAATGGAAAGAAAAGTTTGTAAGTAATTGCATTGTAGCTATGCATTAGTCTGTGATTTGAGGTTTAAATTAGATTAGAATATCACTCGAATGGAAAGAAAAGTTCGTAACTTTTAACAATAATTGCATTGTAGGTATGCATTAGTCTGTGATTTGAGAAACAACTCGGCTATTGAACGTCTTCGCCGGTAAAACCCTCTCATTTTTTAGCTCCATTATTCGAATTCGTTCAAAAGTATCAATTTGTTGTTAAAAATGGTCTTTGTTTCGTTGCAGAATCAAGAACATCGACCCTCTAAAGGTAAAGCATCATGGGTTTTATTTTGTTTTGGTTCTTTCGGATTTTGATATTTGGTTTTTAACTAGTGTGTCTTTGTGACTGAGTTGCTGGCGCAGCCCCTTGGCATCTTATGCCACTCCTTCCACGACATTGATACGTATACGACAGGGTTTCCCCGCGGTGATGGCCAAGGTCACGCAAATTTGTTCCGATATGTTAAGCAATGCATACCCGGCCCTGTAAGTTTCTTCTTTGCTTCTCTTACTATCATTGTTGCCTGTAGCTGTAGGAACTAGGAACAAATTTTGGACAATGTTACATTGTTGCCTGTAGCTGTATTTTCCTCAAATTTGCCCTATGACAGAGCTTTTCATGTAACAGTATACTTTCATCTTAACTGCAACCAAACAACTACCTAAAAATTGTATAAGGTATGGGATGGCAGATGCCAAATACAAATTAAGGAAAGATGTGGGTGTTCGTATGCCTGATGATCCCATATGTCAAGCAATTCTGGAGAAGATGGGCTCACCATTGATATCCACAAGGTAACCCTAACTTGATTTGTATACGTTTGCATACTTGTTCCGTTGTTAGTGAGGGTGATGGTTCGAAATAGATATGATTTGTACCTACTTTTCGTTAATGATTTGAATACACTGTGACAAGATGAGAAGCTCTTTCCATACTTGCATTATAAGCAGCCACAAGAGCTTCTTCTAGAGGTTCTTCTGTTCTACTCCAAATGATGTTATACTGAATATTTTTCCGTGTTGTCAGTGTCAAGTGCCCGAAAGAGAATGAGTGGTTGATAGATCCAGTCATTATAGCTGATACATATGGACCAGAGGTATGCTTTTGCCACTCTCATAAAGGTTTTTTAGTTTGTATTAATTCTTTCTTATTATAGCCCTTAAATTGCGTGTTCAAATTCATTACAGGGCCTTGATTTTATCGTTGATGGGGGGGTAAGAGTGGCTGAACCATCAACTGTAGTTGACATGAAGGTGATCCCTCCCAAAATCATACGACAAGGAAAGGTATTGGGCCATCCATTAATTAAGGTTTCAGCATGCACGAGTCCTTTCTCATAATAATATGAACCTAGCACTCCTCGAACATGATGATGCTGGGTTTTTTCCATGTTACCATCTGTTAACTTATGTTGTAATATTGATGCGACTAGAGACGGCTGTTTCATTTGCAATTTTGTAGCCTCTGAAATATTGTTGACTTCTAAAGTAGTGAGACTCAGCATATCTTTGTGTGTGTATGTATTCAGGGACCTAAATTACACTGGATGGTGACAGAAGATGACAATGAATCTGCTCAGTCGTAGGAAAGCTCCTCTCCTCTATCAGTCCAAAGATAATCATTCATCTCGACAAGTCCTTTGGAGAATCTGGATGTGGGCATGTCTAATGTTGCACCGGTTTTGCCACTTTCTGCTCAGTCGAGGATTTGGGCTATAGATTTACCTCCATGTGCAAGAGGAAACAAAAGAAATTTGTATGTTCTATGTAGTGCTAGGAAGTGCTTCAGTAGAAAGTTAACAGTGTGAAAGTGAACACCGAAAAGGAGAGCTAAGAGTGCATCCTATGGTCAGCACTAGCTTTCCTTTAGCAATGTGATTTGTAAGTAGACTGCAGAACCTTTTTCACAGCAACTACAATGAAAACAAGTTCAAGCTCGCTAAGGGCCAGTTTGGAAATGTTTATTTTCTAGAAGTGCTTTTATCAGAAGCATGTGAAATTTTATAATTCATACTTGGTACTTGGTACTTGGTAGTGCTTTTATACTTCATGAGCATTTTTAAAGTTTCTGCCAAACACTCGAACTTGTTTGGAAGTATTTTTATAATGGCTAAAAGCGCTTCTGGTGAAAATATTTTTGGAATCAATATTTAGTAAAAATACAAGTAAATCCTGGTAAAGCATTTAAAGTGCTTTCTAGAAGAAGCAGATAGCTGGTATTTATTGCAAAAAGCACTTGAAGTGTTTTTGTGTCCAAAATATTTTTTCTACAAACGTTTTCAGTTATTTTAAAAGCACTTCCAAACTAATCAGTTGTTTTGGTTATCTAAAAGCACTTTTAAATACTTCCAAACAAATGCCTAGTTAGTAGATTTTGACACGCTTCTAGTAAAAAATTCTTATGAGCAAAAATGTTTCTTATAGCAGTTCCAAATGAGCCATTAAGGTGATAGTAAGCAAGTACTAAAAGAGAAGTATTTTCTGCAACGGGTTTTTTTTTTTTTTTTTAATCGAAAAAAAGAAAATGGGTGTGAAGAAATCATTGTGTTTCGAAAACGGTTAGACTTGGGACTTTGAAAAAAATGCACCAAGGTGGAGGCCTCTTACCTCAAAAGCAAAGGGTTGGTTGAGAGGTAGTTAATGAGGTTTTTGTGAACACCATTAAAGGTGCAGTTATGAGACTGTCAAGATGGACACTGGTGTGGTTGCCCTGCCCTTTTCTGTACGTTTCCCTTCAATTTAAAGCTGTGAAATAATAAACACAATTACTCTCTCAACATTTACTTTCCCCTGCAATTACCACACCCTTCTCTTAATTTTTTTTTTTCTTTTCCTCCTTCAAGATTTGAGAGCTTTAATGCGATTTACATGGCCGTCCTTGGAGGTGGTTTCCTCATGTTTCCTCGGTATGCCTTTATTGTGCTTAGTTTGCTGTATCTACAAGATGCAGCTGAGTCCATGGTCCTCGTTCGTTTCGACAGAGCTCCGCCGGCACAGTCGAGGTATTCTTCCGCTGTTTTCCGCTACTCCGTTGTCATGCCGGACGGTTCCAATGCATGCAAGCACAACGTGTGTTCCATTTTCTGTCAGGTATGTATTTCAATAATTTTGCGTTATCAGTTCGCTTAATTAGTTGGCTAGAACAGCGTGCGCCTCTGCATTCAAGTTACAATCTCGCTTCCTGTAATTTAGATTAGATTTGATTCGAATACCACTTAAATAAATAAAAAAAATTAGTCCATTTGTGTGATGAAATCTGTTTATGAACAGCTTGATGGCCAAATTTTGAGTCCATGTCCGGCTCGTGTCATTGTATTCAAAAACTTGACCGTTAACTGCCATCACGAATTTCGTCTCAACGTCACAACTCGGGATGGACGGAGAAACTCATCAGCTTATTCTTGGTTCATTGGTGAGTATCAATGCCAGCCCTGAAATTTGTTTCCTTTTTCTAAGTTTTTAAACGGGTGGACTCTGAGATGTTTTCGTCGTTTTTATGACAGATACAATACCACCAACTGCAACAATTTTTAGTGAACAGAATTACACGAGTGCTGAAAAAATAGCCATTGATGTCACATTTAGTGAAGCTTGCACCGGAAAGGGCGGCTTCACATGTTTGAACTCATCAATCTGTGATGTAAGTGGATTTCTTACTTCTTTTTATCACCCTTGCATGATGTTATTCAAGAACATTCTTAGTATTACCATGGAAAGTGATCGAGAAGGTAAGTTTCATGCTTCAACGATTGACAAGGGTTAAAATTTGAAAACTTAATTGCGTTTTGTGCTTTTGTAGGTCATAGTAAATGGTCCTGGCCATGTACAAGCATCTTCGTTACGCATGATTAAACCTAGTATCAGTTACAGCCTTGATGTAATTCTCTCCCCGAAAAGTTTATACGGGCGTGTTGCCATCAGAATGGCAGATTGTTTTTGTACAGATCAGGCAGGAAACGGATTTACAAGGACAAATGGTTCCACAATCATCGTTCGCTTTGGTAATACATAAACCAAAAATTTACTTCAATTAGCCGCTTGCTGCATAAGCTTGGGGAGAATGTACTGATCACATTTGTAATGAATCTCTTAGATAGAAGGCCAGTTCTCGCAGATTTTTGGACCTCCGTTCCAGCCTATGAGTTGGCGATTAATGGGATTCCACGAACTGTCCGTGCTACTAACAAAATGGAGGACTTGGAAATATTTTTGGACTTCAGCATTCCCGTTATGAACACAACAGAGCAGGTCCGGAATGCATTGGTTGTAAATTCGGGTATCTTAGTACCTAGTCATGGTAGAAATCAAGGAAACCGCGGGTTTAAATTCCAAGTAAGCAACTACGTCTTTCACATAACCTTTTTTGTGAGTATGGTGTGTTAGCATAGCTCATTTATGTTTAACCTTTCATGTTGTAGCTCAGAAATACATCTGCAACTGAAATCATCACGGTTAAATTACGAGCTGGATTTATACTCGGGAGGACAGGCACTCCTGTCACATCGGTTCCCTCGGTTACATTTCTTTATGGTAATATATTCCACAGCTCAATACGTTCCAAAGATAGTTATGGGTGCACTTTAGTAGCTTTCTCGAGCTAACTATTTACTTTCTTTCAGATTCTGTGGAGACTGGTGTAGGGTTGAGTACCGGTTCTCAAAATTTTACAAAGGACCGTGTCATCAGTGTGGTAGTTGAGTTTACAAAGCCGGTCTTTGGCTTTCAGGCCTCCATGGTAAATGTGTTCGGGGGTAGAATAACAAGGCAGGTGCATATGGCGACTCTAAAACTTCTGATATCATAATACTATTTGTCCAATCAGTAGCTTGCTGCATTCACATACGTTTGAATAAAATGTTTCTTTTAATTTTAGGTTTAGGGAACTCTCGAGAGCTCTGTACTCGTTGAAAGTTTTGCCAGCCACGGAGAATGTAGTGTCAGTTGCGATTCCAGCAGGGAAAGTATATGACATATCAGGAAATCCAAACATGGCATCTAACCAACTCGAAGTGAAATACTGTATGTATCATTCTTCGCACATCTTTTTTGTGACATTCCACATCGTCCAGGGGAGTGAACCTTATATGTATATTCCCATCCCTACCTAGCACGAGGCTTTTTGGGAGCTCACTGGCTTCGGGTTCCATGGAAACTCCGAAGTTAAGCGAGTAGCGTGCGAGAGCATTCTCAGGATAGGTGACCCATCGGGAAGTTCCCGTGTGAGTTCCCAGAAACAAAACCGTGAGGGCGTGGTCGGGGCCCAAAGTGACCATATCGTGCTACGGTGGTGAAGTGGGCCCGAGAAGTGGATCCCCCCGGACCGGGATGTGACATTTGGTATCAGAGTCTAACGTTGGCCGCGGTGTGCCGACGAGGACGTCGGGCCCCTAAGGGGGTGGATTGTAACATCCCACATCGCCCAGGGGAGTGATCCTTATATGTATATTCTTATCCCTACCTAGCACGAGGCCTTGGGAGCTCACTGGCTTCGGGTTCCATGGGAACTCCGAAGTTAAGCGAGTAGCACGCGAGAGCATTCCTAGGATGGGTGACCCATCGAGAAGTTCTCGTCTAAGTTCCCGGAAACAAAACCATGACGATGTGGTCGGGACCCAAAACAGACAATGTCGTGCTACGGTGGTGGAGCGGGCCCGGGAAATGGTCTCCCCCGGACTGGGATGTGACATTTTTTCCTAGATTTATTCGTGATGGTTCATATATTGTACTCTGTAGCCAGGGAGAAAAAGCTATATTAAAACAAAAAAACAGACACCTTTTCATATGGCTACCTCCCTGCTTGACCCTCTAAATCTGTGCAGACTCAACCCCTGCAATATCAATCGCATTGCACTCTTTTGTTACTGTGGGTATATTAGCGACATCATTAGCAGCTGCTATTTTCTCCGTTTCTTCTGCAAATCTTGGAGCAGTGGGAACTCTTGCTTCTGAGAGTTCCAACGCCGTTGCTTCTGACTCAATGAACCTTCATGTAAGTAAAGATTAAACAGTTCAGCAGATACAATATCCAAGTGGACAGATTTTGATATCTGTAATTTTGCATTTCTTCAGTTATAATATCTGTTTGTTTTTAACGTAGGGTATGGTCGGACACCTTCAAGTTTTTGTTCTCGCAGACTGGCTCCCAGTTAATCAGCCAATTGAATATTTGGAGACAACGAAAGGTCTTAAGTGGCTCATACCTCGCCAGGAGCTTCCATGGAAAAACGACAACTCTTCAGGTTGGCCACACCAAGAGAAGCTTGAGACAACGACTTCAACTGAAATTGACATATGTTTTACCAACTCATCTTATATGTGGTATGATATACCAGTGCCAATTGAGGTGTACCCCAATTCGGGTTGGCTTCATGGACTGCATAGTATGCGTATGCCACCTTATGGACAACCTCTTGATTCGAATGAATACTTCACATATTTCTTGGTGAGTATATATTTCAGCATTCAACGCTTATGTTCCTCACTGATGAAAACCACTCGACTGCTAATCATTTATGTTACAGAGAGGAGAGCCGTTGTCTGCTAGCAATGTCATCAAGGGAATGGAGAATTACAGAGGGTAAGCTCCACGTTTACCTTTACTTTGGTGCTTTTACACTAAAATCTGAAGACTGGTTGAAAGATTATACAAAACGCGATATCTAACTAAATTGTAACAGGTGGGAAGATTTGCAGATGAACCTTTTTTGGCTTGGCATTGGAGGAGGCAGTTTAGTCGTAATCCACGTGTTGGTAGTACTTTTCCTAAGGTGGAGACTAGGGACTCCAGTTCACGGAATACTCTCAGTGCCCAGATTCGAGCTCTTTCTTTTGATTCTCATGCTGCCTTGTATCTCTCAGTCCTCTGCATTTGTTATTAAAGGTAAGCAGACAATTTTGTTCTCTCAAAACCCAATTGTTTTGATTGCCACTCAAGCGTGTTTTGAACATAAGACTACTCTAATTTACAGGTGGTACGATGGGGGGAATAATTATTGGGGCTTTATTGCTAGCTATCCCCACAGCCCTTATCTTATCGGTGTGTCTTTTTCAAATCATTGCAATCTTCTCCAGCAATTTTTTTCAGTACAAGGAAGTCAAGCATGTAGCTAGAAAAGATCCGTGGTATGCAAAGCTCTGGTATTTATTCACTGGGAGACCCAGAGCCGGAAAATGGTTTCATAAGGAAGGGCTTCCTTCGTCTTTCCTTCAACAATTTGGGATTCTCTTCATAAGTTTGCGGGGTCCTCCATTGATCATCTCTGCTGATCAAAATGAACCGAACAGCGTATCCAAATGCACTGGAAGTGGCCATAGTGGTATTGGGAAAATGGGACCGGTCAGCTTGGATGAAAGCACAGCAGAAACAACAATTCCTATATCCAAAAGGCTCTTGGGTTGTGCTAGATCCTCCTATATTATTCTCGATCTTTTAAGACGGGTCTGTTTGGGCATCATATCCGGAGCTAACTCATCAACGAAATCAAGCCAAAGCATATTAGCATTGGCCATTACCCTGGTACAGTTCATCTATCTATTTACTCTGAAACCCTACATCAAGAGGGCAGTCCATCTGGTGGAAAGTGTCTCTCTACTGTGTGAGGTGGGCCTATTTTCGCTATTTATCGTTATTAATGGCTCAAATCTTGTTAAATCAAGAAGCTTCGGATTTATAATGCTAGCTCTCCTGTTCGTTACCTTCGTTGCCCACATGATAAACGAATGGTATACTTTGGTAAAATCCGCACTCAGACTCTCACAGCCTCAAAAAAATTCATTCAAGCTCGGATTGAAGTTTGTTGCTAAGGGTCTGATCCTCCCGTTCCTTCCAAGGAAACAATGGTCAAGACTCACAGCTGCATCCTCTCAGCCTACAACAGGCCTAGCTCCACTCCTTCCGGATACAAGAGCACCGCATGCTGACCCTATTAGCGCTATGACTGCAACCATAGTCCCTGTGCTCAGTCCGGGATCACCTGGCCCTAATGTTGTACAAATCATAGGTTCCACTAATGTGGAGACGGCCCTTGGCACACAGACAGCAGCAGAAGCAAAACGGCAAAAGGGTCTTAAACTAGAGCCGACAAGTGATCTGAAGAAACTGAGGGAGCTGGCAATGGCAAGCTTTTCGGGATATTCGAATCTTGAGGAAGCCAGTACTAGCTATGGTACTAGGATGCAAACTCCTCGAGCCTCTACTTCTAGAACAAAACAGTAGTATAAAAACTAGCATCAAATTTTCTGATCTATTAATGTAGTTCCTGTGGTTTACAATCTGATAGACATTTTTATGCTGAATTAGTAGACAATTAACAGAAATAATTAACATTTCGAAACCCGAAAATTTTACTGAAGATTCAACAGAAAATAGTTTCTTCATTACAACAAAACAAGTTCATCAACGTAACAATTACATACATCAAAACTTTCGAAACTTTAAGACGAAAATATACAATCAGAGAAGGAAATTAACAGTGGTTTCTTCACTGAGGTGAAAACTATTTACCCAATTCTTGATGTGAAAGGGAAACGGCGCAGTAAAACAGTAAAGGGAACAAAGAGCCTCCAAGAAATCTTGCTTCAGTGGTAGTCACCATAATCATGAGGCATACCCTGAGCAACATTGGCAACATACCCATCAGTGAAAACATCTTCAACCGGTTCTTGCTTCGCGGCAGGCGCTGTCAGCAGCCGGTTCAGGCCGTGCACAGCCAGCCACCGGTTCAGAAACAAATCTTGAGCCACCACCGGCATTTCATTAAGCGCGGGAACATCTCCAAACTTGACCACATTGATCATAAACCCTTCTTCAAAAGTGGGCAGCATTGTTCCATCTTCAAGCGCCACCAAATCTTGCCACATAAGCAATCTCGGAAGAGCATGCTGCCGAAATATCAGCGAGTAGTCGGTGCTGTTCCTCTGGTAATCATCAATCGCCTCGTCGATCGGAGCGAAAACTGTGAGCCGGGTCTTCCGATTGAACCCCACCAGCTGCGCATCAAGAAATGCGGCAAAGATTGAGTACCCTTTGGACCTCAGCAAATCAGCTACGAAACCGAAAGATTCGGGACCGGGCCGGCGAGGTTCAGCCTCCATCACAGTCGCACTCGGAGCAGGGCTCGGCGGTTGAACACCGGAAACAGAGCTCATCAATGGAGGATCTGCCGCCCGTTCTTGAAGGGCGTCGGTGGCCAAGAAAGACGAATTGAAAAACTCGTCGATTGCATAAACGATCACCGACCCATCATCCAGAACGGCGTTAGGATTAATACCCAGATCGTTGATCGACAAATAGCCCTGGAAATTTGGGGAGGCGGTGACGGTGAGGGAGTAATTGGTAAGCAAAGTCGGGATCTTTGTATTGGGGCGGAGGTACTTGAGGGTGTTGACGGAGATTCTTCTCGGGGAGATGTGGTAGAGGAGGAGGGGGAGTGAGGGCTGGCCCAGGCTCATGAAGGCGGCGTCCGGCGGAGCGAAGATGGTGGCAGCGGGGGATTCGAATTCGATGGAGTTGGAGACGAGTTGGAGGGTGAGGGACATGGAGAGGAAGCCGGAGTTCGAGAGAACCTTGGCGGCGTTCAAGAGGGTCACGGAGGTTGCGAGGGCGGAGGAAACGGAGAGGGAAAGGATGGTGAGGAAGATCAAGAGAGTAGCGGCGGAGGTCGCCATTGTAGAGTCGCAAAAACCTTTGGGTTTCGGAATCTTGAGTTTTCACAGAGAGAGAGAGAGAGAGAGAGAGTCTGGTTGTTGGAGATTTGAGCAGAGAGGAGGTGAAGTGAGTGCTGAAGTATTCAGTTAAAAAGCGGCGGGAAATTTAGAACGGAGGCGGTTAGTTTGTTCAGGTGGTTAGAGCTTTGACCAAACAAGAGAAATGGTTTGACTCTTCCTTCTCGAGGCTTCGTCCGTCGACGATATAATAGGGCGACTAAACGCACCGTCTTGGAGTTTGCAGTAAATCCGAATTAAAGCCCAACACCATCTTTGTCACATGGGCAAAAGCCCCAAAATCAATCCTGACGGGAATAAGTCTGGCTTAGGTCCTTTTGCCCGGCTGAAGGACCTAAGCCTCTCTCTGACGGGAATAAGTCTCTCTCTGCTGAAGCTTTGATCCTTCGAGCTGGGTACAAAACGTGGCCCTTTTGCCTGGCTTTGGTGTAGGGGTGGTAATCTGCGACTCTAGTTGAGGGTTGGTCTCGAATTGGTTATCAAAAAGGTTTACAAAATATTGATTTTGAGAGCAATTTAATTCAGATTGTTTCCGCATTGATGATCCTTCTACTTCGACTGTTCGTCTCGAATTGGTGATAGAAAGGGATTTTAAAAAATAAAAAATAAAAAAAGGTCATTAGTTAGATTTGAGGTCGAAAAATAGACAAGAAAAAAAAAAAAAAGAGGTTGAGTTGGATTAGGAGAGTAAACTAAATGGAATGAGGACCTCGGGCGTATAAAGCTTATTGGAGGGGTACCAACATCAATCAAAACTCCTGACTCTTAAAGGACTTTAATTAATCTCTCCCTCCTTGGACTTGAAAACCCTAACTTAAGGCTAAAGAAATTGATCACATCATCTGGATTCCGCTAGCTTCTCAGTCACAGTTTTCAGAAGGAGCAAAGGGTTGATCAAAACCGATCGATCAGCTGCAGCACCGCACCACACCATCTTCACATGCTAAGAGTGCGTAACACTTAAATAATTACTCCCTCTCTCTCTCTCTCCATGTTTTTAATTGTTATTGTTATTATTTTGTAATTCTGATTGTAGTACGTACCCGATGTTTTCATATGAATTGATTGTGAAATCTTCAACACTACCTCTTCCGAGATTTTTAGATATACTAACAAATATTTTAGATTTCTTGAATTTTAACCGCTGGAGGATCTTAAGGGATATTGAACGGTTTGAGCATATGGGCTTCCACTAGTTCCGAGGGAGTGTATATGTAGGGTTTAGGGTTAAACATATTGTTTGTTTGCTTTTCAAGTTTTCGCTAAGTCGTGATTATTCAGCTTTCTCTAAGAATACTGAAAGCTAATGATTATGCATGCAATGCATGGCAGTAGGAATGAATGGGCATGACCAGCTAATCATGGATTTCGATGAGGACGAATACATTAGCGACGACGACAATGTTGACGACGACGACGGATACTTTAGCGGCATCGAGGAAGAGGACGACTACTTTGGAGACGAATACCACTGCGACGAGTACTACTGCTTCGAGTTCGGCCAAGATCTCAAGTTTGAGAAGACGTTATTTCCTGAGGGGACGATCAAAGAGTGGGTTGCTAAAGATGAAGTGCGAAGATTTATAGCTGAGAAATTCAAAAAATTTCTACTCACCTTTGTCAATCATCACAGTAAAAATGTTCAGCAGCAGCATGATGAAACTGAAGTTGAGTACGTGCGCCTCATCAATCAGATGGTGTCAGGTAAACATCAATATATATAAGTATATGTATATTGTCCCTCTTAAAAATCTGGATCACAAAGATAAAAGATTCATGCTCCATTTGTTTCGTCGCAGCCAACAAGTGTAGTCTGGTGATCAATTACGAGCAGCTTCTCCCCGTTCAAATCCAAATTGCCCGTTGGATGATCAAATCCCCCCGACTTATTCTGGAAACCTTTGAAGATGCTGCCAAAAATGTTGTGTTTAATTTACACCCAAACTACAAAAATGTCCATCAAAGCATCTACGTTCGCATAACCAACCTCCGCAAGTGCGTTTCCATTCGCAACATTAGGTATTTATAAAACAACCACTCTCATTTTTTCACCTTGGCTTTGGGCAACCAATTTTACTTTAGTGGCTATTGTCCGTCTTTTTTGATGATATTGATTTCAATTTTGTTCCCGAATCTCTAACATGATGTTGTTGAACGCAGTGAAACCCATTTGGATGCCTTGATTTGCATTCGAGGGCTTGTGACCCGATGCTCTAACATATTTCCTAAGTTGCAACAGGTAATTAATTAGGCCTTGTTTGGTAGTGTTTTAGAACGAGTAAAAATACAAAACCTTGCCTTGTTTTTAGCTAAAAAAAAAAACTTTCTAACAACAAAAAATGCTTCTGAAATCATTTGGCAGAAAGAGGTTGAAAGTGTTTTAATTATTTAATTCCGTTTGTTTCTTGCATTAGGCAACATCGTCGTCCAGGAATTATCAGATACTCACACTCCAAGAGAGCTCCGGAAGTGTGCCTGCATGTCGACTTCCGAGATGCGTAGAAGTGATAGTATCGAATGATCTGATTGATTCTGCCCTTTCTGGGGACGAGATAGTGAGATATACTCATTCCTCCCCACCTTGATTGATTTGTTTGCTTTAATGCCCATTTAGCTTGTTATTTGTTTCAGTGAATGAATATTTACTCACCTTATTATGTTTCTATATACCTCCTTAATTAATTTTGATTTATATTTCTAATTATAGGAGGTCACCGGCATTTATACAGATAAATTCGACTTATCGTTGAATGCAAACAATGGAACTCCGGAGTTTGCCACTGTGGTTGAAGCAAATTATATCGCCAAGACCAAGAGCCGGGATTGATGATTAGGCATCTCCATATCCATCTCCGTCGCGGTCGCCTTACAATGCAAGAAAAGAAGTCATTTTGATTCTTAAAAGTTAACATGAAATGGGTATTTCGAACTTGGAAATTCGTCTATTATGTTATTCATATTAATGCAAATCGTCAATGCATTCATTATTTGTGAGCAATTAGATAACACTTTGAACCCATCTCTCGATTTCCATTTGAAATTCACTGTTCCGCATGCTGGATCATTTACTATTCCATGTTCTTCCCGAAAATGGGCTAATCTCTATATTGTGCGAAGCTAAGCATCTTCTATAATGTTCCTAGTTGAAATATTATTTTTCTGCCTAGTATTATTGCATAAACTCGTGTCTATTCCCAGATCTATGCTTATATTGCACAAATCAATTTCCACATTCGCGGGTAAATGGTTTACATAATTACTAGATTAGTAGTGGGCTTTAACTAAAGGACGATGCTAGGAAGACTAAATTTGTAAACTAAACGATGTGTCATCAATAGGAACGAGCACGTTTATCAATGTTTCAGTAACAACTCAATCATCACCTTCCATGTCATTTATTTAGTTTGTAAACTAAATGATGTGTCATCAATAGGAAATACCACGTTTATCAGTGCTTATGTAATAACTCAACCATTGTCTTCCATGTCATTGTGTTTGCAAAATTTTATGTACAAATTAAGTTTACCTAGCATTACCCTAAACTAAAACAAGCCAAAATCCAATCTCTCTTC